GTAAGCAAAAATACAGTAATTATTGTGATTTATGAACAGGCATTTTTATATTAAATTCGTAAAATGTACTGTAAATTAAGTTCCAAGAATGTTTAATATATTATTTAGATATTGAGGCTGGTTATTCGAGATTATATCAAGCACTAGTAGTAGTATGTCCGAATACTATACTTCCATACCTCATAGGTTGATCGGTCATCGGATGTACCTCGCGACCTTTCGCGTAACGAACGTAGAACTTTAAGTTGTCGAGTGTACACGAGTTTATCTCCGTGATATTCAAACACCGCCAACTTTAACTTAGGGTTTCAATATACCTTCAATTATTGAAGTTTTTGTTAGATTTAATATCTGCCGCCTGACTCTGAACCTGAATCAAATACCGCATACGAACATGCTAACCACTAAACCAATAAGGCAGTGAACGTTATACAACTTATGTTTAGAAGTAACATTCGTTCACAGAATGTCTAACAGATAGCCAATTTGAAACCTAGACACGTCACAGACTAATAAAATTCGTTAAACTTTTTTGCATCGATGAAAAATTCGACTAAGCAGATAGTATCGGCTGAAAGTTGCGGGCAACTAATACAAGTTGCTGGAACTTTGAGAAAACATCGCATTGGAAAGTTGCCAATAGCGACACTAGTGTCGGACATTTATTTTGACGGTATCGGGTGGTATCAACGTGTCTAATGAGCTTGGGGAATTGCACTTTTTCACCGCCGCTTTAAAATACCGATGTCTGCTCTAATAGTTCAGCTTTTCCTAAAAGCAGATTTTATTGCAAATTGTATTTAAATTTTTACTAAGTATTGTTTACTTATATATATTCCTGGAATCTTTTTGTTCATTTCAAACAAGTTATCTAAACCAAAACCTCTTCTTTTATGCCTGTATCTACTGTTATTTTGCTCTTATGTGATCTTCGGGGAAGTGGCCCGAAAGTCTGTCAAATTAGGTACGTCGGTACCTAATCACTTCATAGACAATGGCACAACAAAATCATTACAAACGACAAAAACAAATTCACTTTACGGTTATTGTTTTTGAAGACAAATATAAAAGTTAAGATAATAAACTTTTTTCATAGTGGCAATATGTGTGAAAATCGTTTCAAGAAAATCTTAATTATATTACTTGATTCAGAAGTGATTCAAAAAGCTTATTTCCCTCTGGTTCAGTATTCCTTCCACCTCTCATTTTATAACTGACACAGTGGTTATATCTTGATGTTGTAGCTAAACTGAATAATGAAATATTCTAAAAAGGTTCACTACTTTAATATAATTATTACTTTCTTGTTGTTTTGTTTTCTGATTTTGGACTTATACAAAATCTCATTGGTTTACATATTAAGTTTCTCATGTAAATAAAGTACATTTTTTGTAATGAGAAATAAAGTTCTTTATACATTTGTAATAGTGTCAGTACAGTACACAAGACAATGACAAAAATATCGACTAATAAATTAGTTATTAAAAAAGTTGACTAAAGAAAATTCAAAAAATATTTCCTTACATAAATAAAAAAAGTCCTTAACTATTGACCGCTATAAACAGACAGAATATAATTTTTATAATAGTAATGAATGTCATTTAAGCACTTCCCGAATCAATTTGATACACTTTTTATTTATTGAAGGCTCTAAATTTTAAAGCTTTAAGTAACTCGTCACCTTTCAGACATTCTAACTTGACTATTTCTCTACGTCGCCGGAATAAGGCCAGAGCTATCTATGTAAGTACTCCGTCTCATATTAAAAATTTCCCTCATGGGAGTTATTTCAGCGTCTGAAGGCTCTTTTGATGTATGAACTTTAATATCCGTCAAGTTACGAATAACTATACAATTTACTAACAAACTATTTCACTTTGCTGTACCAAAGTATTACAAGAATTTGTTTACTTATTGGCTCGTATTGCTTCATACAAATATTTACATGATTAAATTCGAATATAATGTAAAAAGTATCAGGCGTTAAGATTCCGTCTATATTCACTGAATTATAGGTACAAAATTAAATTTTAATTGCATGGAAACGTGAATATGCAACGTAAGTTTGAATAGGTTAATTATGTAATGTTTCGGCCTGAACCTGTGTTGTACGAATTATTAATATATTCAGTGATTTTATACCTATATGGTTTTGGAAATAAATAATTATCGGTTCAGAGATTTATCTTTCTACTTACTGAATAAAAACAAGAAGAACACGAGATCTTGAATGTTGGGCCTAAGAAACGACGATGTAATGCGCGCATACAAGGAAAAACGTTTTGCCTAGTCGGGCTTGGAACTCAAAACCTAAGGGTTGAGAGAAGCACGCTTGAGACTAGGTGAAATAATGATAGGGAATTACGGTTCACTATCTCCTTAATAACCTCCTTGTCTTAGGCGCGATAGACAGATCCTTGTGCAGAGGCTGTTTCAGCGCTAAGGAATCAGTCACCCACGCAGCACTGGAATGCGTGGCTGTGGCTTCCCAACGAATAGAAATCCTCGTAGCAGTAAGGTCTCTCCGTGAAGCCTATTTCATTTTTAGTAGTATTTTTCTGAAAACGGTGTTACTTTAAAATTTAAATAAATGTAAGCAGTGTTTTAACAATATAAAATTTTCTTATTGTTGTATGTAAACATTATCACACTTTGCGTCATAATTCAATTAAAACAGTTGTTGACTATAACGACGAATATTATTATTTAAATAGGAATAGTTATCATAAAACAGATGCGACGCAAACGTAACCTACTTTTATATTAATAATCGACAGAAACATGAGACATTTATCAAATAAATTGATGTATGTGAAGTTATACTAACGATTTTCATAGTCATAGATTTATTGTTACTTGAAATTAAAAATACCTGTAAATATGCGAATAGTGTGGAATATAAATCCCACAGATCACCAGCACCATACATTATCATTAGCAATGGGGTGTAGTGATGGCGGAGACGCAGCGGGAATATTTTATTGATTTATTTAGTTACAGAATACCTATGTACACAAACAGAAATTCAGGAGTACTAGTATATGCATGTCAAAGGTATAAAAACCAAGGCTTTTCCTGTAAAACATTAGCTACATTATTAGGAGTACATATGTATATATATATATATATATATAAATATATATATAATATATAATAATGGCACCCACCAAGCACCCAAAAGGAACGAATAGAAGTTGATGTACCTAGTCAGCGCGTGATGTTTCTAAAAATACATAACAAACTTCGAACTGCTTTATCCTCTTTAAAATATATATTTTGGTATTTACGGTTTTTTTTATTTTTTCTAAATATAAATCAACATTAAAAGTAAATGACGTTCACAAAATATTCGAGTAATAAAATACATCTTTTTCTCCTCCATAACATCCAAAGAACTAGATTACAGCATTCAACTAAATCTAGAAAATGTTTAAAAGAAATCCAGGCCACAATACTTAACTGGGATAGGCCGGGCCACTTAGTTCATGTAATGCTTTAGTAAGTTGCTAGTACAAGAGCTCGTTGATTTTCTTAAAAACAACCTATTTAAAACAGCCTAGATAAAATATAAATACTTTATTGAATTAAGAATTTTAATTACTTATCTGAAACATTCAAATAATTAAGGCATAACTAAATGTTTTTGTTTACCCGTAATTATTTTTAAATTATTATTTTGAGACGAGTTAAATTCGCGACTGTTTTTAGAATTTTTTAGCGTGTGTGTGGTTTATGTACTTACTTATATACTACTACATACCGACATACATACCGATTCAGAGGAGTCGTTCGATATAAGCTGCTTCGAATGCAGCTGAGTTTCATTACGTCGAGGCAGAATACGAAATACCCAGATCACCCCGACGTCCGTCGTTCCACAACTAAGCGTTATAGTTTTTGCCGCGCATCACCACTATGTGGAACCAGCTGCCCAGTGAAGTATTTCCGAACCAATGCGACTTAGGGTCCTTCAAAAAAGGATCTTTTAATAAAAGAGCGTACCAATTCTTAAAAGGCCGGCAACGCACTTGTGAGCCCTCTGGCATTGTAAGTGTCTATAGGTATCACTTAACATCAGGTGAGCCTCCTACCCGATTGCCCCCTGTTATATAAAAAAAAACATCACAAAACTTACTTACATAGGCATATTTGCAGTCACTAGATGTTACGCGCGGTTTCAGACGCGTTAATTCAAGAAGTCAAGTAAAGTCAAATCATTTATTCCAATTAGACCGCCTAACATGGACACTTTTGAACGTTAAATAGAATATAAAGATGATTCTAGTTGCCCCTTCCAAAAGGTAGTTTCGTGTGGAAAAGAATGGACAAGAAACTCCACACTTACTCTTTTAAAATAGGTTTTACAATATTTTCTATACATTAATTAAATAATTATATGGGAAGACAAGGTACTCCTAGAATAAAACTACTATACTAAAATAGGCACAAAGTATATAGGTACAATTATACATAATAAATACCCGCGAGGTGCATTATGATAACGATATTTTTCGTATTTATTCTATATTTAATCTCTTGAGATATTCATTGAAATCAAATTATATGAGAGGCAGTTTTATTTAAAATCAAACTTGTTACGTATAAATTTGGATAAATATTAATATCATGTAAATTAAGAACACTTTCGCGAATAACGAATTATTAAAGAACAACTTTGTTTAACATCTACTATACAGTAGAATCAAATCGTTAATTTAAACTTACTGGTTATCGGGGGCGTAGCTCAGATGGTAGAGCGCTCGCTTAGCATGCGAGAGGTACCGGGATCGATACCCGGCGCCTCCAAGTAAATACTATTTTATTTTTTTATTTGTCAATTGTTTAGCAATTAGGTCAAGGATCATGTCAAAAAACAATTAAATCATAAACAACATTTATTTAACTTGTATAATAAAAACAACATAACATTTATATCAAAGTAAAATGCAAAAAGCGACATAAAAAAATACCCTTATTATTATTATAAAATGTTTCTATATTTAAAAAGAAGCTATCCCAGTAATGGCCCTGCCCAAAATTAATGCGTGAATATCATGTGTTCCTTCGTAAGTGTTGACTGCCTCGAGGTTCATGACATGTCGAATAATATGATATTCATCCGACACACCGTTTCCTCCGAGCATGTCTCTCGCGATTCTCGCAATTTCTAACGCCTTGCCACAATTATTACGCTTCAATAGGGACACCATCTCATGAGCTGCCAAATTTTTATCTTTCAAACGTCCCACGTGTAAACACGCCTGCAAACCGAGGCTTATCTCTGTCAACATATCAGCCATTTTTTTCTGTATCAGCTGATTCGAAGCGAGCGGTCTTCCAAATTGTTTCCTATCTAATGTGTACTGCCTAGCGATCCGCAAACACGTTTCGGCGGCACCGAGTACGCCCCAAGCGATCCCATACCGAGCATTATTGAGACATCCAAAAGGCCCTCTAATTCCTACGACGTTCGGCAATAAATTCTCCTCCGGGATAGCCACTTCGTCGAGCAATATCATGCCCGTAGCTGAGGCTCGCAAGGAAAATTTACCGTTGATTTTTGGTGTATCTAAACCTTTTTTTACTTGAGCTCTCTCAACTATAAAACCTCTTACCTTTTCCTCTTCATTCTTAGCCCATATTATAAGTATATCTGCGATCGGCGAGTTAGTTATCCACGTTTTTGATCCAGATAAGATATAGGTTTTTGTTTTTGAGTCGTACTTTGCCTTGGTGACCATACCACCAGCGTCACTCCCGAAATTCGGTTCGGTTAACCCAAAGCAACCGACCAACTCTCCTTTTGCCATTCTGGGTAGATATTTTTGCTTTTGTTCTTCTGAGCCATACATGTAAATAGCACCCATGGCTAAGCTGCTTTGAACACTCATTGCCGACCTATATGACGAGTCAACACCATCTAATTCCTTAGTAATTAATCCATATGTAACATTCGAGACTCCTGCGCATTCATAGCCATTGATAGTACACCCAAGGATACCTAGCTCCCCCATTTCTTTATAGATCTCTCTATCAAAAATTTCCTTTCTATTTGCCTCTATAATTCTAGGCATCAGTTTTTCATGACAATAACTTTTAACAGAATCACGAACTGCCTTTTCATCGTCAAGCAATTGAGTTTCCAAGTTCAAAGGATCCTCCCAATTGAAACTTACTTTAGCTTTGTTAGAGTATGTCGTCGATAGCGCCCTTATATTATTGTTGTAGACAGACGTCCACAATTTCGTAAATTTATTAAAAGTTACAGCCATTATAAAGCAAGTTTCTCTTAGACTTGATCAAAAGCTGTATAATACCTTGTTGTTATCAGTTGTTTACGAGTTCCCGTCGAAGTACTGGTACATCCACTTGGTTATTAATATTCTAACACTTCACGAATAAATTAAAACATGATTATATATATTGTTATACAAATCAGTCTTGTTTTAGCAGTACATTTATAATATTATTATGAGGTATACTAGCACGGAGTTAATAACCTCTAGCTGGCCTTGTGACAGTAGTCGGCGTACTGTTTTGATTCGCAGGCCGCAGCTCGCGACTATCTTCAGTTATCATAAGTGACGTAAACAACGAGTAAGCGGCGTTCTAAATAACTCAGTGGGAGGGAGAGGTGGAACATATTGTATAATAATATATACATATATATTTTCCCAGGTAACAAGAATGAAATTCTAGATAACAAGCTATGTATTTATTTAAAATACGAATTTGTTGATAAGAAATAATATCTGTGGTGATATGAAATTATTTATTTGCTTATGAAATATTATTCGTGTAAATTTAATACAGATGCCCTTCAAATTCTGTAATCACAATAAAAATATAATTCATAACTAAAGTAACCTAACCTAATCGAACGTTGAAATGCTTGGTGAAATTTTACCAAAGTTTGTAATTTAAATCTACCTGGTTAAACCTCAAAATACTTTTTAACTCAATATAAAAAGATTAAAGTCCCATTCTTAGTTATTCCGTTGGGTAGAAATATATTTAAACAACTCAAGTACTGCAGTTATTACATACTTTCCGACTTCGCGAGGAAAACTTAACTGGAGTAAGTAACTAAATATTAATTGTACTTGATTATAACGTTTAAAACTAGCTTCAGTTTATAGTGAATTTTATACATACTCTTTGGAACTATATCGAGAAATAATTTTAAAAATATACAGGGACCTGGCTTTTATTTTTCTTGTTAACAGTTTTTTTGTCAATATTTTTCCACGAGTTATGGAATTTACATTGAATTCAATATTGCTTATTCTTTTCTTGTATGTTGACTTCAATAAATACAATTGAATGTAGTAAAAATAATAAACCCTCTTTTTATTTCCATATCCTTTAGTTACATTTCAAATGTAGTTAGTACTAACTTATAACTTAATGTTAGTAGTAATAAATTTAGTCACTTGTGGACATGGACCTCTTGAGTGAAAGCCCCCTCAACCCTATCTAGATGTCTCTATCTTTACCAATTGTCTGCCAGTCTTTTCCTGCTATTTCTATTAAGTCACCAGCCCACCTTCTTTTTGTTCTTCCCATTCTTCTTTTCCTGGATGGTCATTTCCATTGTGTTGTCTCTAATGTAATAATATAATAATATTTTTTTTAATATTTCATTATTATGTTGTTAAGGATTTTACTAACATAAGAAACTTTGATAAGCCAAATGACTCTCACCCAAAACATAAAAACCTCAACAGAAATATGAGACTTCTAGCAGATGTGTATTCGTAATTGTACAAGCAAATAAAATAGGCAAATTACATGTCACTGAAAAATTCGCGTAAAAAACGTACAGGAGGAAAAAAGCTTGGAAAAATTGCAACTACGAGAGAAGCCTGTGAGTGCACAGTATGTCCTCTTATTTACGACCTAGAGCAAAAACCACTGCGTTATGAATGCGAAAAGGTCCTCCACAATGTTTCATTCCTTTCTTTGTCGAGTTAAACAAAAATTTCATTTAAACCATTCTTCCTGCTCAGCGTTCTCGGAACACATCTACAACCGTACAATTAAGGTTTATTAAATTTAGAATTGTAAGTATAAAATTAAAAAATATTTCTTGACGCAGCGTCTTCATGTACATATAAATTATACATAAATTGGACATATACTGATTGATGCCTGTGACATTATGTTTATAAGAAACCGATTAAAAAAAATTAAAACACAAAAATATTCTGTTATTTTTTGCTTTGTATGTTACATGTATTCTTAAAAGTAAATATAGACCTAATAACACGGTTTACATTATTTATATTTTATGAAAATTGTGTCCTTTGTCTCTCTATTGGCACTATCTTGAGGTTCGTTTGATGCTCTTAATATTGTATAAGAAGCCAATAATAAAAAGCTAATTATGTTATAAAGCGCCGTCTGAATATATATACATACATAATTTTTGTGCATTTACATAACAAAAGCCATAGGGTAATGATGCCTTCGACTATCATTTCCGTCTTCCTTGTACGTGGATGGTCTGTATTCTCTTTACCCTTTGCGCCCCGGCAGGACACTCTTTAATGGTCCAGTGATTTTTCTCATATGCAAATGTCAGATTAGCATACATTTTATTCTGAGCTTCCATTACTGCTGACAAAAACGTTGACAAAGCCAGCACTGTTTTTCTAGCTTAAAAATATGTAAATTTTAATCAGATCACACATTGTATAATTTCATTGTCCTTTTAAGTTAACAAATAAACTTAGGAAGAATATTTTTATATTCATAGGATATTATTTTTTGACTCGGTGTGATTATTCTTATTAGCTACGCACATTGAATAGTAATAATAGATTTATATGACAATACTTCTACATCAGTGATCTGAACCACATATTGAATGAACACATCAATTTGTATTGACAAAAGGTAAATATCCGACTAGATTCGTCAGTTTATTAACTAATTAATATTTCAAACAACAATGGAATTTTACATTTGTATAGGGTAGCTGAGTCATACGATATCAAAAAATTTGTATTTGTATCAAAAAAAACAATTTTTTTTAAAATAAAAAAAAATTGTATCATTATTATCAATATTGTATTGAATTAAAAAAGCCACCAGCTACAGCATGTGTGTATACTAGAAGTATAACATACTAAGTCATCCTTTTGTAGTTATAAGTTAATTAAATGTCTAGTCCCAAACTGTGTGATCGTGTTTTGTTTAAGAACAACAAACCCTTATAAATCTATTACCGACTATTTTGTTAGCCTTATGTTATGTTCATATTATGAACTTCTGATTTGTACACAAAAGCGATTTTGAGAGATGTTGAAAAAATCGCCAGTACAAATTTTGTAAAATGGTATTTCTAATTATTTCAGACATCACACAGTAAACTCTAAGCCTTTGTGTTTATACTATTTATCAAATTATAAAGTGTTATTTCCACTTATTTGGTAACTTGTTGCTAAGTTGTTAATTTAGGAAATAACGAAAAAAACTACAAAAAGAGTAGTAAATTTATATTTAGATACTAACACTAATTGTGTTTTTAAGTTTAAAAAACTGTCTTATAAATATTAAAAACAATAAATGCGTCAATGTCGCATTGCGCAACGATTGCGGCCAGGCGTATTTCCGGCATTGTAACAGACAATCCAGTCGAAATACAAGGTACTTCGCAGGTACTTATATTATCTCCTATTTCTGGCTCTGAAACTACACGACAATTCCATTTATGTTTGCTGAAGGATTCACTGGAAATCTAAATCCGGAATGCGACTTGCAAATTATTTACGTATAGTGCGATGTTATTGCCAAATTCGATTTATTTTTAATCCTCTAGACGGGTATTGGAAAAGCAATTATGAAAAATAAACTATTATACATGTGTGTATTTTAGATAAAAATCCAGTGATAATACAATTCTTTACAGATCTATCCTTTCTAGGCGTCAGCCTTTACGTCGGTTTTTGGTATTCAGAGATGAGATTTAGCGTGAAGTATAGCTCCAAGTCTAAATACAATATATTTTGACCGAGTTTTAGGGTCTTGTCGTCTATATATTTTGACGACAAGACCCTAAGACTACATGACTGTCTTCATTATATAAGGAAGTTATTAAGTCAGTGTTAACATACTAAACTAGGTTTTAATGTATCCTCCGACCTTGATTATTAACTGTCAAACGATTCATCAACCTTTTTAATGAAAAAAAGACGCTTTCTTCTATATACTCCGTCATATAATTTAATAAATTACATATTATGGCGTGGTGATAAAGTTATGTAATGGTAAGAGAAAAAGCCGGCGGTCGCTGTCATCACATATGAGCTACTAATTTCTGCGTCTTATGACACATTAGAATAAGCTATTAGCGACCATCCCGAAATGGTAAATTTCGATATCAAAAGACAATATGGAAACTAATAAAATTAATTTGTTTTTTTTTAAAAAAGCACCAATATTTTTTTAACAAAACACTAGTAGTTTTTTGAATATTGCAAATATTAAAAAAAAACTACTAGTGTTAATATTCCAATAGAAATATTAATATTTTTAAAACTGAGCTTTAAAAAATATTGTTGGTTTAAATACAAAACACGGTTTGTGTTTGATTCATATTGCCGGCTTAAAATATGGTTTAATTACATTTCTTTGTTATTTACACCTCGTATTTCAAGCTTTCTACTTACAAAATCTAGTAACAAATTTGAAATTACTTTGTAAAAGTATATCTTAATTAACGTTCATGATTGTGACAGATTCTGTTATACTGGAATACTGTTTTTTTTAAATTATATATGTCAAAAACATATATAATAAAAATACCTATTTAAATGCCGAGATTTAGATATATTATTAAGTAAAACATCTGTATTTGAAGCCGGCTCGGAGTATTGTACCATATGACATTGCGAGTGTCCATGAGTGGTTATTTATATCCCTTTGTATGTGGCGAGCCTTTTGTCCACCAAACTCCAATACCTATTAGTATTCACCTTCTTGAAATGTCACAAAAATTCTTCGTCCTCAGACAATTTTGTATGACTTAAGTTTAACTTTTGTTAAAATGTTCTGATGTCATTCCCAGAGATAACGAAAGTTTTAGTTAACTTTCGTATGTATAAACCTCACGGAATCAACACAATTGTGGGTGGCTTCTTGTTGCACCACGATGTACGATCACCTACCCAGAAGTTATAGATCACTGCTGTGAATTGCTTTCAATGGGAAGGTCATTAATTTTATAAATGCAGAGCCTTTATAACGTAGACGAGTATTTAGACCATAAGTATTGACAACAATTATAAATAACTTAACTGTTCTTATTATTATGACATTATGATAATTAATATGGCATTTGCATGCCTATTTTGTAAGGCTGATTATGCGTTTATTTTATAATGAATCAATCTTAATGAACTTTCGATGCAAATAAACGATTTATTTTATTTAAATCTGCAAATTCTAATAAAAATAATTAAAACGAATAGAAGTATATTTTATTGTACACTATTTTAGTTGTCAAGTAATAAATAATAAAAAAGCAGAGAATAAGCAAATAGACCGATCACTCGTTATTCATTATTCAGATTGCATCCCTCAACGATATTCATCCAACCAATTTCCATGATGAAACGATGTTTTAATATTTACCGGCCTCTATCAGATGCACCTATTACTATAGATCAGATGTGAATTCACTTTAAATAGATGAAAACTAGTAAAAATGTAATGTCAATTAATAAACCATATACATATCAACATTATTTATCTAAGTTATCTATAGGGACCTGAAAAGGTGGGAGCTTGAAGTTTATTGTTTATCAGAATGCCAAATCATAAAATGACTGCTTCACGACTGATTTGAGAGCGACCGCCGATGCAAAAACCGCTGTGTGAGTTCGAAAAGTGAGTTACAGAATCGCAAGGCAGAAATGTTTAAGTGTATACTCGTATGAATATTAGATTGTTCCGTAAGATGGAGTATATTAAATGATGGGTATGAATTAAATAATTCAAAGGATCTTCTTGATATGAATTTTCCGAATATATTTTACAAAACACATTGCTAGTGTTTTGTAAAATATACGAATCAAATGTGTAAAGCTTATTTTGGCTAATATTAAAAAGTATATTTGTATCAAGTACTTGGCATATAAAAAGTATATTTGCAATAACTACAGCACTGAAATTCAACAATTTTAAATGCCGGCAACGCACTCGCGAGCTCTCTGGCATTGAGAGTGTCCATGTCCATTATCACTTAACATCAGATGAGCCTCCTGCCCGTTTGCCCCCGTTTGTATTCTATAAAAAACCACAAGAATGCTATATTATCCCTGAGTTAGGCTAATAATTTCCAAATTATTAAAAACATAAATATCCAGCCGCGTGACGCCGAGACAGGCCGTACAATATGCTACACCCGCCTTATACTAATCGAAGGCATTTGCAATATTTTGTCAGCTTCGATGCTCTAATGAGTAATTGCAATTAAAATTTCGGAATTCCCGTATTCATCAAGAAGTAAACCCAATATCAATGGGAAATGAGAATCGGTTTTCATTCGAAAATAATTTCTCATTATCGTGTATTTGAAATGTTTTTCATAAATTGCGATAATTATGTTTTAATATTATATCCAAACAGTTTTTATCTGAGAGGTTCCGATTCTGCTGATGTTGGCATACATAAAACCTTGAACGTGCAAAAGGTATATTGAAATTCTTAATTTAAGCTCACAGTACTGTAGTCTTATTTTAAATTTAATTAGATACAACTACCACTGTGCCCTGCGGTTTCGCTTACGTAAATTTGTACGAAACGTTAATTCAGCAGTTTCCAAGATGAGTGTAAGTGTCAAATAAACTCTTCTTCAAATTTATAATAATAAGTATAAATTTGGTTTTTACAAAAACAAAATCAGAAACATCAATTACTAAATCTATAAAAATCACCCTCAAAAAATCTATGCAAAATAAACAATTTAAAGAGGTGCTTTAGTTTTTAATCAAATATCTTATAGTTATTACATTTCAGTTGTTCCTGTATATTACAAGCTTATTAAATACTGCTTAAATTACGGTAAACAATTAACATGAAATATTAATAGTTTGTGCAAAAATTACATGGAAAATATTTAATCAATCTTCATTTTGTTCATCATTCTATTAAAAAATAGAAATTTACAAAACATTATTGATACATTAATTAAAATTAATATAATAAATGCAATAAATAGGTATACATCAATCATAGTATATGCAAACCAGCTTAGATCTTTTGCTGGATTTTTCATATAGGTGGCTCCTTTGTTTCTTATAACATATTCCAACCAAAATACAGCTGTATCTAACGCATTTAATGGTCTGTCGACGAACCTTTTCGATACTTCCTTCGCTTTGGCCATATAAGAACTATTATTAAGAATTTCGTCTAATAACTGATATAGTTTTTCTTCATTGATTTCGTGGTAATGTAGTAGTTTTCCTACACCTAGCTGTTCAAGTGTTAAAACATTATTTAGTTGATCGCCATAAATTGGTACGCTGATTAATGGAACTCCGTGGTATATAGCCTCCTGTGTCCCGATTAAACCTCCGTGGGATACAAATACCTTGACGTGAGGATGGGCTAGAATGAAAGCAATTTATTAACAGTATTCGTATAATATAAGTTGTATTCTGAAACTTTTTAATTGAAAAGAACATAATGTACGCTGTTGAATACCCTTCCTAGTTAATCGGTATAAAGTATATAAAATATAATATATATATTTATAAAATAATAATTTATGTACGATAAAAATCAATTATATATCAATCAATCATCAATCAATGTAGAGGAAGGAAGGTGTATATTTCTCCAACTTAAGAAGAAGGATTCTAACTTTTGTAAAAAAACAAACAAAAGAAAACCCTTGGCGATTTAAAATAGTGACGGGGAGTTTATTGCTAGTTCTTCTCATCCGTCCTGGAGGGCTGGTAGTTGTTGTAAATTAAGAAGCATTTTTTTAAAGACGTTCAAAAGTGTACATTGAGTTACTTCATGAATAAATGATATTGTGATTTAATTTGATCTTTACATTTACCATAAATGTATAAGAAATATTTACGAAATTCCTTATAGATAGATATTTATCTAACCCCGAGTAAGTTTTATAAGCTCTAAGAAATCGTATATATTACATTAAACAATATAACTTCATTGTACCAATTTTAGTAGCTATCAAAGTGAATAGAAGATTGTTATCAATTTGTTTAGATAAAAAATAAAATAAAATATTTAAAACCGCTTTACATCTGTAAAGCGCTTAAATAATATAACATCTAGTATACAAATGGAATAAGAAACGCATTTTCTTGGCTAGGCTTAATAATTGTGCAAACTGAAACGGATTTAGACTAAAGTTTGGATAGGTACATTTGAGTATCCCCATTAAAAACATTATGTTTGATTTTGATTGTATCATATTATATTGTTTCTACTATACGAAAATTCAAAATAATAATTAATTTGAGCTCAGACCTTTGTGTACCTTGTGTTCAGAAATCAATAAAAAATTCGTTTACACTCACCGAGAATCTCCACTTGCGGCAACCATTTTCGTATTATCACGTTTTTAGGTTTATCTTCCAATTTATCGTCTTCCCACTTCCAAATAATGGTTTGTTTGAGTCGCCTGAACACGTTGATAAACGCCTGTTTCTTTTCTTGGCTCAATTCGGAGCTCCGCACGTTTGAACCGAAATTTACGTACACCACCCCATTTACCGCGCCGTCTAAGCATTTTTGTAGATCCTGGAAAAAAACGGAAAACGGTTATTCTTATGTGAATTGGGAACGGAATAAGGGAACTAATTGTCCGTGAAATCGATAAAAATGACAAAATAAATTTGATAAACTACGTTTTTCTGTGTTGAACAACAATGGTAGACCATATAGATAGAAAGCACAAGCCTTGCAACTTAGAATAGCACTTACGAGTAGGTGATAAATAATAAATGTTAAAGGTCCTTTAATTAGAGTTGGTAATAAATAATATAATCTGAGTTAAGAATTTCAATCTCTTTAAAAATATCTCATTACATAACATATTTTTTTTGCAAGCGGCACCTTGGATGGTTTAGATTTACAAATCAGCCCGGCAGTTGGCTGCCGGCGTCTAGGTTCTTTATCTATACAGAAAATAAACACCTGGTATATATATAAATCTTCTATGCATGAGTTCGTTCGTAATGGACAGATTTTGATGAAATTTATTGTGTGTTCAAGTGTAGCCGAGAATAATTTACATTATTAGATATTTTTTTTGTATGTAAGATGTGTTTACAGGACAATTTCTGTCGGATCCGCTAGTAAATTGCTATTAACCTTAGTTTTAATTAATTACCTCTGGAAGTGCGCCTGTACTGTTAGTTACATGTATTCCACCAATTTCAACAACATTAGGCAAATAAGCAGTTGGAGTATCAACACTAAAATGAGTATTCAACAGCATCAAAGAAGCATTCTTCTGTACATCATACAAACTGGGCATCTTTTGAGGCAATCCTGGTATGTACTTTCTCATCAACTCCTCTTGCTTCTCTAAGTACCAGAATTTCCACCAAAATAATTCGTAAACTGAGAAATACATGTTTCGTAGTCGACCAAGGAAGCTTGTTGAATGATGCAAGTCCAATAACTCGTGGGTGACTGTTGCCCATTGTAAGGAATTTCTAGTAAGAAAGTTGTGTTTCATACAATTTCCATGGGTTGTAACTAGTGCTAAAGGAGCGTTGTATATATTCGCAAGCGCATAGAAAGCTTCTTGAAAGAACTGCTCATTGACCACCAGGTCGAATGTTGTGTTGCTTGTAAGTAGGGCCTGTACTTCAGATGATTGAAGGGCTTCCTCGGTTAGTGCTAATCCACCGGGCCATAAGATTTCGTTGTGGAACTCCTCAGCAGTCAGGTCCACCATCGTGAAGACATTTGGCCTTTCCTTGCCTGGGTAAATGGAAATAAAATTATTTTAACATTACATACTCCAGCTTATGTTTAACTAGAGATCTTAATCATGTCATGTAATTATGGCATAGCTTACACAAATAAAAATAAGAAGTTTCACGGCTTGGATAAGTAGATAAACTTTTAATCACCCATAAAATATGGTTCTATCATGTTCCGTCTCATTATATTTGTCATCAAGAATGAATTAAAGAACTAGGCGATTAATTTTAATATTAATAAAAAAAAATTAGATTAATTTTCACTAGAGATTATATAACATTAATATTTAATTAACGTCCAATTGAATTAAGTTGCTAGCACCGGAATTAACAACTGTAAGATTTTTAAAATTTCACCAATCTAAAATCTTGTTTTGTTAAAACTTTCTCTAAGGAACTCGCAACCATGGCTTTCCATAGAAAATATTTAAGTTCATGGTGTCTATTAAAAAAATAGTATCTTACCAAGTGCATCCCATATTTTCGTATCTTTGACCATGACTTGGTGATAGTTTGGCGGATAGTTCTTTTCTCTGTACGCCGTGATCACTGTCACATTATGTCCACGTCGAGCTAGCTCCAAACCAATCGGCTTCAAATTAATATAATGAGATCGTGTTGTAAAGGGGATGACGAACAAAATATTAGCCGCATCACAGAAATAAACGAGTAGTGACAGCAGTGACCAGAACTTGAAAGCGCCCTAGAATAATTCAAATTATTAAAAAAAATTAGTATTTACTTGTAGTGGATCATTATATTACTGTTTCTCTAGAGGTACTAAACTATTCTTATTATTATATTTTCACATCTTCTTTTGTTTTATATTAAATGTTATTTAGCAATTATTAAGAGAAATATTTCCTTTTAACAATTCACATTTGGAACAAAGAGGGAGAAATAACTGCATTATAAAACAAAATTCTGTGGTATATTTTTATTTGTAAATAGTCTAGCGTCTGAGTCTTTTCCCCTCAAATAATGTCATTTGTTTTTGAAGTTTTGAATATCTGCTATATTTTTACAAACCATCACGCAAAAGGACAAAGAAAATAAAGAATGTACTTACCATAATCACTATATCTGCTAAAATGTACTAAAGCGTGTGTACAAGTGCCACGTTGGGTAACATCTACGAATATCGTTTTATACTTTTGTAGGTAGATGCAAAACTTGGAATAATGCGGTACCCTCATCACAAATTATTAATTTTTCAAAAATATATAACGATATTACTTTAGTTCGTATTTATAACCACGATATACCTATTTATTTGGTAAATAGTGCTATTTTAAAGAATAAATAAATAGATTGAACATTATTTCTAATAATTAAATTTTTAATCATTTCTCTTTTTATTGTCAATTGTTTGTGCAGTTTATGAACAAAAAAAAAACAATCCTTACTTATAAACGTTTAATTTTCTTCGATTTCTTACACATTAACATTATTAAGGTACTTATAATCTTATAAATTACATATATTATAGCTATTAATACAGCCACTACGAATGAATAAACATCCAACATCGTATATTCGAACCAGTTAAACTGAAGCGCGGGGTTCTTCATAAATGGTGCACCATTATGTCTTATAACATACTCCAGCCAAAACATCGCCGTATCTAAAGCATTCATGGGCCTGTCTTTAAACCTCTTTGATACTTCTTTTGCTTTCGCCATATACGAGTGATCCTCTAGGACTTCTTTAAGCAAGCCGTACAGCCTTTCTTCAGTTATATCGTGAAACTTCAATAGTTTTCCAAATTTCATTCCTTCTAATAGGAGTATATTGTTCAGCTGATCAGAGAATACGGGTATACCTATTACAGGAACGCCGTTGTAAATTGCCTCCTGTGTGCCTATAAGACCACCGTGAGAGATGAAGACTTTTATGTTTGGATGGGCTGAAAAATTTACACCCGTTTAGTTTTATATAATATATATAGGACATTAAGAAACCATAAAGTAAATGCTGCTACTCCCAAACCCTAAGAATTTATGCTCAGTGTATGAACCAGATTTAGAGTATGTTCATAAATTATTTAATACCAGTCAATACCAGTAATTACAAGCTTATAAAATTCTGTTACATCTTTAGAACAAGTTATCCACAATCGGTTATACTATCGGGTGATAGAATTTGTTTGATATCTTTATGAGTTAGAGATAAGATCTACTGTACTCTTTGTATCACTGAAATTTATCTATTAAATTATATAATAGTACATATATATGTATTATACAAGTCATCATTACAAATGCTATCACATTCGCAACAAAAGGCAGATTATATATAATTTCTCAATATAACAAAATCTGCGCTTTATGATCCTTTCTGATCTGACCTTTATAATTAATTATTTATTGTTATATCATTATTATAGTATTATCAACATTATTAAATAATACGGAGTAAAGGATTTTATGAATATTACTATTAGATCTGTATGAGTATTACAAGAACATACCAAGAATCTCTTTTTGTGGCAGCCATTTTTTTATCATCACATTATCTGGTTTACCCTCTAATGTATCTTCCTCCCATTTAAAAATAATTCTTTGTTTTAGTCTTTTAAATACATTTATGAATGCCTGGCGTTTTTCTCCTGTTAAATCTGTACTTTGAACGTTTGAGCCAAAGTTTATGTAGATCACGCCATCTACGGCATCATCTAAATACTTTTGAAGGTCCTGTAAAAATAGATAAATTTTTGTGTGGAATGTAAATTATAATCGATATCGACATAGACACATAGCGCTGAGTTCCTCAAAAAATTACGAACTTAGTGTCGACTTGGTACTTCCGAGAATTATATTTGAATTAATTGAGATAACATAGATCAGGGGGCCTACCATGAACTCTTATTGCGAGCCTATTGACAACCTACAACTGAGATGCATCGCTAATTGGTACCATGACATCGAAAAAACGAGACAGTTTATGTTCCCACGTGACCTTAGCGGTTATCAGATTTCGTTCGTTCAATTTGTATGAAAATCCGTACCATGACCGCTCGGCTGAACCGAAATTTGACAGTCGCGCCTTCCAACTATGACAGAATAAGCGATTCTAAAAAAGTTACTTTTTGTTCAACTTTTTTGTATCGAAATGTCCAAATAATAGTTGAGAACCTATAAAATTCAATATTTGTATTAAAACTTGTTAATAAAGTTAAAATAATAAGATTTATCTACTATGGCTAATATAGGAAAAAAAATATAATTTTTATATTTACGATATTTTGAGTTTAGAGTGTGATTATAAATAAATTATTAAAATATAGACGGAGATGAGAAACAAGACGGCGATGCCCTTCCGACTACCGACTTCGTAGATATTAAGTTTATAATTTACTATAGATTATTGACTTTGATTCATTGAAGATTTCAGTGTACCTACAAATAATTGTTCACATGCACATTGTTCAATAATATTCAATTAATTATTTATGCATGTCTAACAAAAACATAATCCCCCAATATAATATCATATTTTACAATAAATAAGAATGCCATATTACTAGCAGATATTTATTATAATTAAATTTTTCCTCACTATGTTCATGAATTGTATTATTCTCCTCTGCTTTTTGTTGTTTAAAAAAACATAGGTATTTTTAAATTTATAATGTGTAAAGAATAAGCCATTTAAAAATATTAGAATAACAGTATTTATTTAGTTAGGATGACTCCATCAAGATAGAAAAAAAGATGTCTTCAGGCAATGTTCAATTAGTTATAAACATTTATTCATATAGTCTCAATTTCGCGATTTTGTCAGGTTAAGCTGTAAAGAAAATTATTATTATAATTATAGCCTCTTTATTTCCATAATGAATAACATATTAAACAAGTATATCATATGATTAATTATTACATAATATGTGCATGCATTAAAAAATACAATATTATTATTTATAATCTTTAAATTATATTCCAATCATAATTAATAATTTCAATGTATATAAGTTTGAAATGATAAATAAATTAATAAGAATCAAATACAAAATTCATTTTTATAAATCATTATAAAGTATCATTAAATCGTTATGGACCCCTCTACGGGTAAAGGCCTCCTCCATTTTGCTCCACATCTGTCTGTCTTTTGCTTTGGTGGTCCAGTTTTCACCAGCTTTTCTTTTTATTTAATCAATCCAGTTTTACTTTGGTCTACCTCTTAATCTTTTGTTGGTTCTCGCCAGGTTACCCTTGGTGTCCATTTTTCCTTGTCCATGCGAGCAGTAAGACCCGCCCAATTACATTTTTGTCTAAAGCGTCTATTATTTTTGTTGTTTTCCTTATTTCTGTATTTCTCTTCCGATGTTGTCTTTGTATGTTTAGTAGACTCCTTTCCATCGTTCTATGGCACACTTGTATTTTGTTTTTGGTGTAGTTATTGTAAATCCATGTCTGGAAGCCATATGTAAGACAAGGTATTAAATATGAGTCCATAATTTTTTCTTAAGTTTTAAAATTCTGATTTAAGGGTTTCTTTATTGCTCCAGGATTTATTCCAGGTTATGTTGACCGCTTTTAACCTAATCGTTGTGTCGTCTTTGAGAAAGATACTTGTTGACCCAGGTAAACATATTGTAATGTACTGTTATTAAACTTTATTGGAATAGTTTGGTGGTTCGTCATAATAATATCTTTCATTTGATAGAATTGATTTTGCATTGTAAGGGCATACATCGAAGTTTTGTAGTGGAGATGGAAGGTTGTAGTCATTATCCCCCGCGGTGTCGAGGTGAAGAGGGGCTTTCCTGTAAAGAAAGTATAATTATTTATATTATATGAATTAGTTAACGTATAAATTGAGTTTGTACAATTTGAAGGAATTATTTTTTATTATAGTTACTTTGATTTTAGAGTAATAAGTTGATTTGTAATATCTTTTGCAAAGGGTTTTATATCAGTAATTCACTTGTTATAGGTATTTATTTTTAATAAACAAATTTGTGAACAATACTTACCCCATACCATAATTTTATAAGTTAAACAATTTGTAAATATATTTATAAAACCGAAATTTTGTAAACACCAAAATATTGAAAGCTCCTTCAAAATTTGAAAGAAACGTTTAAAAATAATAAGTGTCAACTGTCATAGCACCAGAGAACTTTCCGTTTAAAATATATCAAAATAATGTTTTATATAAAATAAATATATATATTAAGACATAATAGCTTATTGTGATTGATGAATTAATTAAAATAATTTTATATTTTATTTATTTTCATAGGAACATCTGTCGAAGTAAGTTTGACAGTTAAATTTCTAAACGTACTCAGAAACCACAAACAAAATTATCGTTCTTTCATTCGGTCTTGCGATGCTATACGTTTCAGCTTATAGGCGGTCATGGTACGAAAAATGCTATTGACTTTAGGTACCTAAACTCCGCTGCTCTCAACTGGATTGTTTTAAGAAAGTTCATGGTAGGCCCCCTGAACTCTTTTATTGACAGAATATCATACTATATCAATTGACTAATTTATAAAAGCTAATAAATATCTTTCACTGCAGATCGATGTTCAAAATTGTACATGAGAACTCACTGATACCGTATTGCTTTTATTTATTGTAAAGTAGTTTATGAGGTATTACATAGTAGATACAAAATAGATGTTTCATCAAATTATCAATATTGCAGATGTTTGTTAACAAATATGTGTGAAACAAACATACAGTATATACTATACCTGTGGCAGGCTTTTATCACTTTTCGTAAGGTGCATTCCGCCTACTTCAACAATATTTGGCAAATATGCTGCTGAGATATCAACACTAAAATGACTGTTAAGTAACATTAATGATGTATTCCTTTGTATATCATATAAACTAGGCACAGGTGTCGACAATCCGGGTATGTATTTTGTCACCAGCTCCTCGTGTTTTTGCAAATACCAAAATCTCCACCACACAAATTCATATATCGAGAAATACATGTTTCTAAGCCTTCCAAAGAAACTAGTGGGATCATCCACATCTAATAATTCAAAGGTGACTGTTTCCCACTGAAGAGGGTTTCTTGTTAAGAAATTGTGTTTCATGCAGTTTCCATAAGTTGTAACAAGAGCTAAGGGTGCATTATATTTATGAGCCAATACATTAAACGCCTCTTGCATGAATTGTTCGTTAATGACTAGGTCAAATTTAATGTCGCTGGCTAATAGTTCTTTCACAGCAGGTGATTGCAGCGCCCTCTCTACGACTAACAGTGTACCAGGCCAGATATATTTTTGGTGGAACTCCTCTGTGGATAGGTCAACCATTGAAAACACATTTGGTCTTTTTTCGCCTGAAAAGTTCAAAATTTGTTAATGGTATTAGGATTATTTATTAATATGTTCTAAAATTAATTTAGTTATTTATGAAGCGATTTCTGATTTTAAACGTAATTATCTTTTATAAAACTTCATTTTCAAATCGTTTTTATAATTAAATTGATCGTGAAGCTTTGCTCATGTACTCGAAATACGGAATAAAATATACGTGTCGAATTCTTTACTTCCTATTTTGTCGTTATTTAGAGTTGGTAAAGTAGAATATACTCTAGTATAACACGTAGATATTATTTAGGAATAATCACGTAAGACAGTGTTTATGATAACATTGATTTATTTTTTTGATTTAAATAAATAGAATTTAAATATGTTTTATCCAACTCCTATATCTTTAGAGCGCAGGAGTACCTACATGTTTTGTGAAACGTAGTTTGATGGCCTTTGGCTATTGGCCTTAAGTGTTTTATTGTAGAAATTCATTTGATAAAAAGATCATAGGTTAGTTTATCTCTCCGGATATGGTATTAAAACTCTGACTTCTTCAAAACGCTTTTGTTTCAAAATGTTTTTTTTTTAAATATATTTTCTAGCTTGAAATATCCTAAAAGAATATGTATTTCTTAAGACAACAGAGCACAATTTTTTTATTAACGTAAGTACAGTAGTGATCGCGGTCGATCATCGGCGTCACCTATGCCTATACAGGCAAATGTATAAACACATACACCATACACCTACCATATATAACGTAAAATATGTAAATCAAATTACCTAATAAGTCCCATACTTTGGTAGCATCAACCTTAATTTGGTGGTATGTTGGTGGGTGATCAGTCTCTAGATGAGCAGTGATGACTGTCACATTATGACCACGTCTAGCTAGCTCCAATCCAATTGGCCTTAGTGATAAATAATGCGAATTTGCGGAAAACGGAATGACGTAGAGAATGTTGGCTCCATAACAATACCCGAAGAGTATAAAAAGTAAGAATATTTTGGGCATCATCTAAAAAAGGCTAAGGTTAATATTTACTATAACAGAAACGACATCTGTACAAAAATAAGATCTGAAACAAACTTAAATCATCATTTTCAATATCTATTTCTAAAACTCCCGCCATTATTTTAAAGTTACTTTTGAATCCATTATGAGCTTTCTGAGAAAACATTCTTATAGTTTGAAGTCAGTCTAATTTTGGTTGTCGCGAGGTCATGATAAGAATTTTCATACAAATTGAATGAACGAAATCTGATTATCTCTAAGGTCACGTGGAAACGTAAACGTTTTTCGACGTCATGTAATGAATACGCGATGCATCTCAGGGGGCCTACCATGAACTTTCTTAAAACAATCCAGTTGAGATGCAGCGGGTTTAGGTACCTAAAGTCAATAGAATTTTTTCGTACCATGACCGCCTATAAGCTGAAACGTATTAGCATCGCAAGACCGAATGAAAGAACGATAATTTTGTTTGTGGTTTCTGAGTACGTTTAGAAATTTAACTGTCAAACTTACTTCGACAGATGTTTCTATGAAAATAAATAAAATATAAAATTATTTTAAATAATTCATCAATCACAATAAATTATTATGTCTTAATATATATATTTATTTTATATAAAACTATTCTTTTGATATATTTTAAACGGAAAGTTCTCTGGTGCTATGACAGTTGACACTTATTATTTTTAAACGTTTCTTTCAAATTTTGATAGGAGCTTTCAATATTTTGGTGTTTACAAAATTTCGGTTTTATAAATATATTTACAAATTGTTTAACTTATAAAATAATGGTATGGGGTAAGTATTGTTCACAAATTTGTTTATTAAAAATAAATACCTAAAACGAACTCTAAAATCATAAGTAACTATAATAAAAAATAATTCCTTCAAATTGTACAAACTCAATTTATACGTTAACTAATTCATATAATATAAATAATTATACTTTCTTTACAGGAAAGCCCCTCTTCATCTCCCAATACGGTGACCCGCGGGGGATAATGACTACAACCTTCCATCTCCACTACAAAACTTCGATGTATGCACTTACAATGCAAAATCTTTTCTATCAAATGAAAGATTATTATTATGACGAACAACCAAACTATTCCAATAAAGGTTAATAACAGTACATTACAATATGTTTAAAACTATGTTTACCTGGGTCAACAAGTATCTTTCTCAAAGACAAGACACGACGATTAGGTTAAAAGACGAGTCAACATAACCTGGAATAAATCCTGGAGCAATAAAGAAACCCTTAAATCAGAATTTTAAAACTTAAGAAAAAATTTATGGACTCATATTTAATACCTTGTCTTACATATGGCTTCCAGACATGGATTTACAATAACTACACCAAAACCAAAACTGAACCAACAAAAAGATTAAGAGGTAGACCAAAGTAAAACTGGATTGATTAAATAAAAAGAAAAGCTGGTGAAAACTGGACCACCAAAGCAAAAGACAGACAGATGTGGAGCAAAATGGAGGAGGCCTTTACCCGTAGAGGGGTCCATAACGAATTAATGATACTTTATAATGATTTATAAAAATGAATTTTGTTTTTGATTCTTATTAATTTATTTATCATTTCAAACTTATATACATTGAAATTATGATTGGAATATAATTTAAAGATTATAAATAATAATATTGTATTTTTTAATGCATGCACATATTATGTAATAATTATTCATATGATATACTTGTTTAATATGTTATTCATTATGGAAATAAAGAGGCTATAATAATAATAATAATTTTCTATACAGCTTAACCTCACAAAATCGATAAATTGAGACTATATGAATAAATGTTTATAACCAATTGAACATTGCCTGAAGACATCTTTTTCTATCTTGATGGAGTCATCCTAACTAAATAAATACTGTTATTATAATATTTTTAAATGGCTTAACATTTACACATAAATTTAAAAATACCTATGTTTTTTAAACAACAAAAAGCAGAGGAGAATAATAAAATTCATGAACATAGTGAGGAAAAATTTAATTATACTAAATATCTGCTAGTAATATGGCATTCTTATTTATTGTAAAATATGATATTATATTGGAGGATTATGTTTTTGTTAGACATGCATAAATAATTAATTGAATATTATTGAACAATGTGCAATTATTTGTAGGTACACTGAAATCTTCAATGAATCAAAGTCAATAATCTATAGTAAATTATAAACTCAATATCTACGAAGTCGGTAGTCGGAAGGGCATTGCCGTCTTGTTTCTCATCTCCGTCTATATTTTAATAATTTATTTATAATCACACTCTAAACTCAAAATACCCCATAATAAATATCGTAAATATAAAAATTATATTTTTTTCATATATTAGCCATAGTAGATAAATCTTATTATTTTAACTTTATTAACAAGTTTTAATACAAATATTGAATTTTATAGGTTCTAAACTATTATTTGGACATTTCGATACAAAAAAGTTGAACAAAAAGTAACTTTTTTAGAATCGCTTATTCTTCATAGTTGGAAGGCGCGACTGTCAAATTTCGGTTCGCCGGCGGTCATGGTACGTATTTTCATACAAATTGAACGAACGAAATCTGATAACCGCTAAGGTCACGTGGGAACATAAACTGTCTTTTCGATGTCATGGTACGAATTAGCGATGCATCTCAGTTGTACGTTTTCAATAGGCTCGCAATGGTTCTGGTGGCCCCCTGTTGTAGATTGTCAAATATGTCAATAGGCTCGCAATAAGAGCTCATGGTAGGACCCCAGAGATATACTTATTTTTATATTGTTTAGTTCAGACTAACACAAACCTTAAAAATATTAAAAAGAACTTACCATTTTATTATAATTCATGTATCTTTCGCAACATTACAAAATAACGTCTACGACATCGCAGTAGTAATGACCTCGCAGTTTTAATCAAACATTTATATGTTTGATCATCAACATATTCAAATAGACTGGCTTTATGGCTGGTTTTCAACTAAAATTGATATCAATTTTATCTTGATTGGTAACGTCTGCCTCGAGTTTGATAATCCCAAAATACTGCCATCTAGAGGTAATTGAATGTACTATGTTGTGTATTTCCACTTAGTTGTTCAATAACATCCACTAGATGGTGTTATGAAAAGTTACCTGTTGCGTGATTTACTCGTAATTAACTTCTTATGGTCTAAGATCCCGATATACAACGACCTTCACCGAGATGCTTATTTAATTAAACGTATTTTATATTTAATTTAATATGTCAATAAATATAATCCATATGGGTTGCCTAGCAAATTTCAGTCCAGAGTATGTTTAATTAATATTTAAAAAAAAAATTTTTTAAACATTTCACCGGTATGATTATTGGATAAATTCTAATCGAAAGTATGAAGCCCATAGAATATGCAAACGTTAGGTTGTTTTTAATCAATAAATTATTTATGTGTATATTTTTTATGTGACACTAAAGTATATATACATCTTTAGTAAAAAAGAAAGTTATAGTGATACATATATAATACTACCCTGATTAAAAATATTGATTGAAAAAAATTAAAAAAATTTACTACATGCAAATTATAAAACAATTTTTTTTTTAAATATTAATTAAACATACTCTGGACTGAAATTTGCTAGGCAACCCATATGGATTATATTTATTGACATATTAAATTAAATATAAAATACGTTTCATTAAATAAGCATCTCGGTGAAGGTCGTTGTATATCGGGATCTTATACTATTAAGACGTGTTAAAGTCAATGTTATGGTATATACGATGTTTCTCAAATTTCAGTGGTATAGTTCCTATAATCACACGGAAAGATATAATTTAAGATACAGAGCTATCATTTCATGTTATTTTTATTTAAATTTCAAATCATAATCGTAAGGAGTTGTTGGTATCTCACGACTTACTTTTAAAGGAATACATATCCTAGAGGGTGCGACGAAAAACTACAACTTTCGGCCATTAGAAATATAAGAATTTGTTTAAACTATCATGCGTTTATTTGAAGTGGCGTCAAAATAGTATATCGTATTAGAGGAAAATCGTTTTTTTTTAATGTAAATTACGATATTAACAATCAGATATTTTTTATACATTACCTATTATAATTTAAAAACTCAAAATAACTTTATTCATATTGGTAAACAAGTAGACTTATGAACGTCAGAAAAGAAGTTAAATTAATTCTAAATTTACATTTACTACCAGTTCTCAAGTCAAGGGGGTAGAGCGGGCAAGAAGAACTGGCAAGAAACTCTCCGCCACTCTGTAAAAAGCACTGTATATCGTAGTATAAAAGTAGACATTAAAACGACATATTATACTCAAATATATTTTATTATTAAGTCAAAATTGAAATTATTCTATTTATAGTCTTAAAATTAAAATATAGCATCATCCTATAAACCTCAGGGGTAATCTCGTAAGTCCTGTATGGGTGACACATTATCAACCTGTCGACAATTTTGTTTGTTTTTGTGAGAATCGAATCTAAATCCTCAGATATTTTATCCACGATTATTATCCAAAGACAAACAGGGATTTGCTTATTAGTAATAAAATAGAAATGCGATTTTTATTTTGTTTTAAAGCTTCCTTTTCCGTTCATTAGTATTTGCGTGATGAAATGTCGCGAGTGAGTTAAAAATCGCAGGTTAACCAAGCCGCTATACATAAACCGCTGAACCCAATGTTATAAATATGGAGTATTAACGCAGTGTTAGACTCAAAGTCGGAATTTAGTGCGAAGTATGGCGTATGTCAAAATCCAAGTCCAAAGTCCAATACAGTAGTCATACTAAGCGCTAAATTTACTCTTAAAGTTAGGATAAAGCTAAATCTCATTGAACGCAGACTTCGCTAAAGCCGTAACTACTAATCCATCTTCTTTTGTTTCGAAAAATCTTTTAACCGTAACATATGAGTGATTTGCAAAACAGCATACAGTATTATGGAAACTGCACACACTAAAACTATCAATATACAAACGTATACATCCAACATATTATATCCCATCCAGGTCATATCTCTTGCTGGATTTTTTATAAATTCAGCACCTTTGTATCGTATAACAAACTCTAACCAATACATGGCCGTATCTAAAGCATTAAGCGGCCTGTCTTTAAACCTTTCGGATACTACTTTAGCATTGTCTGCGTAGGTTTTATTATGAAGAACATCGTTGATTAGCTGTTCGAGTCTATTCTCGTTGATGTCTTGGAATTGCAGTATTTTTCCGAATCCTCTTTCTTCGGCTAGGAGTAAATTGTTGAATTGGTCCGCATATATGGGTATGCCTATTAATGGTATACCGTTGTAGATAGCTTCCTGTGTTCCAATTAGACCGCCATGTGATATGAACAATTTTATGTTTGGATGCGCTGAAAAAAAATATCAGTGTCCATGTTGTTTTAACATTATAATATTAAAGTATCGTTACGCTAAGAAATGCGTAAAGAAAATAATGATTACTTATGGGATGACATTTCTATTTTTTTATTAATCTTGCCCGAAAAAATATTGTTTCAATGCATCGAACCCGCCACGTGTGTTCTATATTATTTGTATTATCTACGCTAAACATAGTAAACTTTTAAACAGTTTATAAGTATAATCTGTAATTTTAATATTTAGTTCCAATTCAATTACTTGTCCTTAAAAGTGTCCTTGAATGTCATTCGATTTAAAAATGATGTGACACGAAAATAATATAATAGTATGTTTCTTTCGTAATAACTTAAGTACATGTTCCGAGATTTTGTTGATCATGCATTTAAGTGTAATTGTGTTTGTGTACGTATATCCATTCAATTATTTTGCATTACTATTTTGTTTCTAGCAGAGAGGAACAAATTTATAATTAAGCAAAATTAAATATTAAAATATCGTATTGGATACTAATTCTAAGTGCGCATTTAACATTCGCTCGAACGGTGAAGGAAAACATCGTGAGGAAACCGACATGTCTTAGACCCAAGTCGACGGCTTGTTTCAGGCACAGGAGACTGATCACCTATTGCCTATTGGATTGAAAAATGATCATGAAACAGATTCAGAAAGCTGAGGCCCAGACCTAAAGAAGTTGTAGCGCTACTGTTTTTTTTTAAAGCTGGAGTAAAATAAATTGTAAATAATATTAGTGTAGATGTCTATTTGTGTAATTTAAGAATGATAATTAACACATAAAAAGCTCGAAGTTTGTTTAGGTATTATCAAAGGCACTGGTGCGACGCCATCTTGCCTAAAGAAGCATTTTGGCGGGTTCATGAAATTATGCATGTTTAATTTTAATTTTTAAGCCAATACAGATAATATAATTAACAGGCTACAGTCTCTTAAAATTCTTATTATTTTATTGTCACTTCGTACGTACCTAAGATCTCTTTTTGGGGTAGCCACGGTCTCACTGCCAAATTACTGGGTGCATCTTTCAAACTGTCATCTTCCCATTTCCATAGAACTGTTTGTTTTAATTTTCTAAACACATTCAAGAACGCATCTCGTTTTGCGACTGGTAGTTCATTACTTCGTACATTAGACCCGAAATTAACGTATACAACCCCATGATGGGATTCGTCTAAAAGCTTTTGTAAGTCCTGAAATCATACCAATAGATTAATAAAGCAATTTATTATTACTGCAAAGTACTGTGCCAAAGTTAAATTTAACCCGTTATTGGGTCTTCCATATAAGCAAAATTTATGTGTGTGATGGGAGACCCTGAGAGTTTGACAATGAATTAACCTTTAAGTTAACCATGTTTTTGAAATACCAATTATACCAATAAGTTTATTTATTAAATACAAAACAACTTAATCTATTAACGAAACACAAAAATCTAAATATTTAAGCATATTTTTAGAGTTGGAACGGTGCTGCGCGATAAAAACGTGTTGAAAATGTTCTATTTTTAGAAAACCCGAATAGGTAATGCGTTCAAGATGACTGTATTTTTAAGGAAGCGACTAAATCCGATGTTTTGCAAAACGCACAAAATCAATGTGAATATTATCGACATATATCATCACAATGTATAGGTAGATATAATTATATTATTTAACTTATTGGATTCCGAGTTGGAAAGCACAGATCGCATCAGATGGCTATTATTATATTATGATTATTGAATTGGGCATAGAAATTTACCCGTCCCATGGCTCGATAAAGGGTACGTCGTGTAAGTGTGTTTAGTGCCATGAGTATAATAGTAAGTCGGAAACGCCTGTCAAAAACATATCCAAGGTCGAGTTAACAAGTTTAAACATAACCCAACATTAGTTAATAAATTTAAATAATTTATTAGAAGCGTAAACCAAATGTTATCAATCATCGCACACTTGAAGCCGAAATGAGCCCATTAGTTTTATCAACTTTCATAAATTGTAATAAAATATTCTCGTTTTCGATAATGTTCTAATAGGTCGACTACACTTATATTGAAGTGTCACTTTGATTAAGTACCCTTAAATAAGCCAAGTTAGTTGTTTGTTAAACCAGCGTCACAACCCCCCAATTTTATGTTAGTACCTATATGCTCATGTATTAAACGATTAAAGCCAATTGACATCCAGCTTCAAACAAAGAGTTTCATTTACCATACCTACAAGAACCGCCACCAAACTGTCGTCCTTCAAACTTTTTTCTAAAAATTGTTTTTATTAATTTAATTCAATAGCTTATCGGGTAGGTATAAAGCTAATTTAAATAATTAATGATAATGTGAAAGTTTTTCGTACAATAAAGTAGAAATTAATTTTTTAATAGAAATTTATAGAGACCGAAAAAACTATTTTACGAGATTTATTATACACAGCCAGGGATCAGGGGGTATGTTTAGATGGCGCGGGCGAGCGGTAAATTCAAGCTTGGCAAACAACATCACTTCTTAGCATTATCGCAACTTTTGGATACTCCGAACGTCTAACGTTCTGCTAACGTTTCAGCCGATTCTTCGGCCTGTTTTTACTCTGAAGAACATTTGTCCGATTGAAGTATCCATTGCAGGAGAAAATGTTGGCAAACACGGGCAAAAATTATAATGGCAATATTGAACGATGCAATCATGTCTACAACGACAAAACGACCTGTGCAGCTCGCGGGTTGTGCCAAGTTTTCATAGGAATTGAAAGGAATAAATTAATCGCTCAAAGAACATGCCTGACATCTATATAATTCATTTTAAGATACTGTTTATGTTTTTATTATGTTAACGTTGTTTTTTTTAGGTTTCAATTCGTTACGGTCATCCGTGACTAAGTAAATAAAAATACTTACTTTAGGAAGATCTTTTTCAGTTTTAATCAAATGCAAACCCCCCACTTCAACCACATTAGGTAAAAATGCCATAGGAGCATCGAAACTGAAATGACTGTTTAATAGAATGAGTGAACTGTTTTTTTGGATTTCATACAATGACGGGACTGGTTGTGGTAAATTAAACATGTATTTCTTTACAAGATCTTCTTGCTTTTCCATATACCAAAGCTTCCACCATAGAAACTCGTATGCCGTGAAATACAGGTTTCTAAGACGTCCCCAGAAACTCCCCGGTTCTTCAATGTCCAGAAATTCTGATACTGTAGTAGCTAATTGTAAAGGATTTCGAACCAGAATATTGTGTCTCATACAGTTCCCAAAAGTAGTCACCAATGCGAGTGGTGCATTATACTTATGCGCAAGTGCATATAAAGCTTCTTGGAAGAATTGTTCGCATATAACTAAATCAAATTTTATGTCTTGTTTAAGAAAACTTTTCACTTTCGTTGAGTTAAGGGTCACTTCAGTGAATGCTATGCCTCCATTCCACAATATCTTTTCGTGAAACCTTTCCGCCGATAGTTGGACCATTGTAAACACATTCGGTCTTTCGCCACCTACAAATTATTAATGTTCCAAATTTTTCATCAACATTAATTACAATTATATATAGATTTAAAACTTGCTCAGTGATTTGCCTATTAATATGCTATTGTCTACAATTTATCGTAATAAGCTTAATGGCTTGCCGTGCTTGTTAATAACAATAAATAAATAACAATATTCACAAGAACCCATCTTGATGAAGGTACAGTACGAGTACCTCACTGTGACAATGTTATTTCGGTAAATAATTCGTAAAAAATCTCTCCAACTCAAAGAAATTCTAACTCTCAAACTTGATAAAAATGTACCTCTTTAAATCAAATCTTTATTGCTTTTTTTACAAAAAGCTTTACATAGAATATCTTTGTACATAACATATTATTACCGAAACAAAGATATGGGTTGGATTTAGAATTACGTTGCCCGAATTTGATGATACTGATTATGTAGGTGTCTCGCTAATGCTAATTGCTAATGCTAAAAAAAACAGGCGATTAATTAAAAAACCGTTTTTTTTTATGCAGAATATCACATCTCTTATAACCAATAGAAAAGTAGAAAATATAAGGTTTGTTTACGAATTTCAATACATTACACAACATTTTAAATATTTTTTTTAAATACTTAGACGCAACTCCGGCAGCACACACGTAGACACCCAGCGAGACGGATTTCTAAATCGTTACCCAAAGATATTAACAGATTTAAAGCTAATTAGATTTACAAACTTAACCAAACTAATAATACATTTTTATTTAATACTAGAAGTATTTAGAAATAAATTTAGATTTCTAGAACTCACCGATAACTTCCCATATTTTTTTATCGTCAACCATCACTTCGTGGTAATTGGGTGGGGGATTATCCTCCTTATTAGCGGTAATAACAGTAACATTGTGACCTCTTCGTGCCAACTCCAGGCCAATGGGCCTCAGCATAATATAATGTGATTTAGATGTAAACGGTATAACATATAGTATATTAGCCGATTCGCAAAACGGCGTAACAATAACCACCAAAAATAAAGACCAGTAGAAATTCTAAAATCCAATGTACTTATTTTATTTTATATTACGGAATAATGATTTAAAAATAAGGTATTAACTATAAAGCAATAATTAATAATATTCTGTATTCTGTATTATTAGGTATACCTACAAAAAAATGATAATAAAAAAAATTATTTCAAATATAGTTGTAATGGAATTTAAATGAAACATTCTTTAAGATATTAAAAAATTCTACTACTAATCTCAGAATTTATTTTGAGGACAAAATGTAAAAATGAGTATGAAAATAAAAATTAAAAAGTAAATATTTATTTCTTAAAACGTATACAAATTAGTTTGTTTAAAGTAAAAAGAAACAAGTTACAATAATAGAAATTAGAATGCACGCCGAAATATTAAACAAAAACATTTAAAAATCTGAATAATTTTTAAAGTATGCGTTTTTACTATATTTCAAGCTATTGAAAACAAATTTATTTGTCCTATTTTTGAATGATGGTATAAATTATTATTTATTATTTCATTGCCTAAAAAACAAAAGCCTACCTACATATTACAAAAATTTTGACCTTACCATGTTTTCACTTATCACAGTAAAAATATTATAACAAAACCTTTAACGGAACAATTTACATGATGCCTCAGGTCTGCAAGGTTCTTGTCCGTTGCTTCGTCCCATACGCACTAGCAAAAAGCCGATATAAAAATGTATGTAGTTGGCCTTCAAATAATTAAGAAACACAACACAGAAGTGGAGAAATCTTTGTGAAAACAAAAAGTACTTATCGCCCAAGTAAACTTAAAATAATTTCATATTGAATTTTTAGAAGATTTTAATATTAAAATTGTAGTTTATAAATCTTGATTGATGTTCAGTTTATTTTTGTGTTGCAAAAGTGATCTATACGACTTATTTGTATGTACCCACACCATCAAGAATAATTTCAAAAATATTTTTCTTATTATTATATTCACAAGTTAGTAGACCGAATTCGAATTCTTTATTAATTTAATCAAATAATTTACGTTTCGACAATTTATATATAAAAATTGTAAACTTTTTTGATCCCGTCGGCATTGTCAGTTGATACTGTAGTTGGTAGAAGTTGTTAGAATACATACATCAGCGTGCCCATCAAAAAAACTTTCAGATAATATCAATATGGTCACAATTTCTACAATTTTTTTAAATATTATATTGATACCTCTGAGTTAGACATTGTAAATCACATATTATGGAATAAGACGCATGAAAAAGTGACTTTGGACAAAATAAGTAATGAAACATAAAGCTTAAATGTTATGAAATATAATTGTATCAGAATCTAAATTAAATACATTTTTGAATGAGAAAATGTGGCCTAAAGGAACCATATATATAGGCAATTTATATATAATAAAAATAGAAAACTGACTATATTCCTGCCGAAGGTATCGTGGTAGACCGTATATTGAGTCGCTGCGTGGATGGCGCTGCTGTGGTATACCAATGTGTTTAGGTAGGGTAGGGTATGCGCAATGCATTTCCCCCAAGTCAAAAAAAAAACCAATGTGTTTCCTAGTGTTACAGTAATAAACTGTTCTTAACCGCTAGTGTACGCTGTTCGAGTTATTACGTCGTGTAGTGGGGAGTCTTCCTATCCCGGTAAATAAACTGGCTAATCTACCCGCCTTTACGGACGGTTTGGAAACCGTAAGTGTTATTAGTAATGACTATAACAACTAACCAATTTATATGTTAGGGGATAATGCTCATTCAAATTAATATTTTTTTAATGAATTGACTAGTATATGTGATGATTTCAAATGTTTGATATAAAAATGTTGGGCTTACTTACTGACATAATTAGAAACATTGATCAAGTGAGTGGGTCAAAACGCTGGCTGGGTCACTGTGTGTTATTTCGATGAGCCGAAGCTACTGTTTGAATGTGTTTATTAAATATGACATTTTGTGGTCGGATCCTATTATCCAAATCCTTTTGTTCTTATTGCTTAAATGACACAGTATTGGCCTTGGCTTTTGACCTTGTATCTTACGACGCTCTATGGAATAAGATAGCATGTCAATTATCATCGCAAGTCATACATTTAAGTATTGCTATGGAAATGAAAATAACTGCGTGAAGTAGACTGATACTATGTCACTTAGGATAGATACTGTCATGCCTAAAGTCCTGGCTAGAAGCACAGAAGTCTCCTGGGCACTTAGCAGGCTTCATGGAGCGACCTCTCTGCTCCGAGGAAGTCTGTACGTTGGGAAGCCACAGCCACGCATTCCAGGACTACGTGGTTGACTGATATGGGCAGATACTATGGCGGATTCATATACCGTTCTCACTCATGACTGTTCAGTAATGCGTTCAGGATGTTGATGCGTGCGTCTACAATGTTTGATTGTGCAGGTGTGGACTGTTATTACGACGACGATATTACGGCGCGTGTGGAGGAGCCCTAACAGCATGTTGGCGGTAATAGCTGGAAGGCTGGATTACTTGTACATGGGTCATAGCAACGGACTATCTGAGCCTACGTTGTAAAAAAATATACTGTGTGTGCTTTTGTTGCGGTGATGTGTACTGCGATAAATTTTTAATAAATTGTAATTTTATGATTAAATGTATCTTAAAGCTAATCTACTCATATTATATTAAAGACAATATTATAACTAACACAATAATAATAATATGGATTTATGGTTGTCTGTTTAAATAAATAAATTATTAATTATTATATTAACCTTTAATAAAAAAACATTATTCAATCATAAATCACGAATCGCATTCTTTCTTTACCTCACATTCAAGAGCGTTTCTGTTTTTTCGGCAATACCCTCCTAAAACGTAATTTGTTACTTAAAACAATCAACAATTTTACTGCAAGAAAAGCAATTGCAACAAATGTTATTACGATAAATGCATAAACGTCCAACATATTGAATGCAGTCCAGTGCATATCAATCGCAGAGCTTTTCAAATGATTTGAACCATTGTTTCTAATAACGTATTCTATCCAGAACATTGCTGTTTCTAAAGGATTCATTGGCCTATCTCTGAATATTTTAGAAACCTCTTTAGCTTTTAACATATATGTTTCCTTCTCGAGTATATCCTTTATGGCCCTTTCTGTAGATGCCTCATCGATGTCATTAAAATTGAGTATTTCTCCAAAGCCGGCTTCTTTGGTGAGAAGTAGATTGTTATATTGGTCAGCGTATATGGGTACACCCAGGATAGGTACTCCGTGATAAACAGCTTCTTGGGTACTCATTGCTCCCCCGTGACCGATAAATAGTTTTATATTGGGGTGTGCTGAAATTGTTTTACGTATAAAAAATATATCGAATACCCCACCGCTGCTGCCCATATTTAGATAGTTTTCAAAAGGTCCTATCTCGGTGCGTGCACTTATTCACAAGTTTCAAGTGTTAGTGCTATTGAGAGATAATATATTTCTACTTTAATAATTCCTAAAATAGGTTTAAAACCATTAGGCCAAATGGTTTTAACCTGCGACTCTCATCCCTAGAGTCGTGGCTGTGCACCAATGGATTTTCTGTCTATATACGCATTAAACACTCGTACGGTGAAGAAAACTATCGTAAGGAAAAAGTCGAAGGCGTGTGTCGGAAATAGTAGGCTAATCATATACCTGCCTATTAGAAAAAAACAAATGATCACGAAACAGATACAGAAATCTAAGGCCCAGACGGCGTAAAAGGTTGTAGGAAAGGTATGTTTAAACAGGTTGATTATTAAAAAATACGTCCTTACTGAAAGTTCTGTAGAGTTCATTGAATATAATCAACTCGAAGTACATTAAATACTAATATTATATCTACAAAACTAAATCACATCCTATTTATTAAGAGATATAGATAATACAAATTTACCTATTGCATTTCTTAAATAAGCATAAGCGAGCGATTTAAAATGGCACATACCTAATATTTTATGTTGTGGAAACCATTTTCTTGTGATTATATTATGTGGCATATCTTCTGTGCGATCATTCTCCCATTTCCATAAAACTGTGTATTTAAGTCTCCCCAAAATGCTTATAAAAGCATTCTTTTTATCAGCTGGTAGTTCAGAACTTTTAACATTACTTCCGAAATTAATATACACCACTCCATTGGTGGATTCGTTCAATACTTTTTCCATTTCCTGAAATAAGAAATACATTTTAATTAACAAACCTTTATGAGAGTTAAATATTTTTTTTATTTATTTAATTACCTAACTCTTAGAAAAAAAAAACTACGATTTACAAACATACGCAGATAGACTGGTGGTATTTTTCTATAGCCGACGCTCAAATTAACCATTTTTTTAATAAAATAATATCATCTTATCATAACGAGTGATGACATATTTAATAACCTTATACAGTATTATGAAGGCGATAGAATGTTTATTAGTTATCACTTGTACGTATATTCAAATTAACTTGCGCCCGGTGCGCTTCTTGGTGGCGAATTTCACAATGACAACCACCTCAAACTGTTTTTGTTTAACCTGTCAAACGCTTGCCGGTGTCTTTTGCGAGGTTGGGTGGTGCTCTGGAACGTATACAGGCCGAGTTCGGGGTTTAAGGGTTTGAAGCGATATTACTTTTAAATATATATATCTCTTTGTAGGACGGTATTCCGTAATTGCAATACGTCTGAATAGTTAAAATGTTTTGAAATTTTTGATCGAACGCCCTCCGCTCTCAGGAATTTGTATGAAAAATGTATGAAATTTTTTTCTTAATTCAGCTTTATACAGTATTTAAAAAAAATCAGTGGCACAACAACCTTTTTAGGCCTCAGATGTCTGTCTCATGATCATTTATGAATCTAATAGGCAAGTAGGTGACCATCCTCCTGTGCCTGACACATCCTCACGGTGTTTTCTTTCACCGTTCGAGTGAATGGTAAATGCGTACATATAAAGAAAGTCCATTACTGTACAGCCGGGGCCTATCAAACCTACGACCTCAGGGATGAGAGTCGCACGCTGAAGTCATACGCCAACACTGCTCTATATATGTATATAGTATATTACAGACCTAATTAATATTTGCAATAGAAATTATAAATATGTTATATCTTTATGACGTGTTATCATCGGCATATCAGATTGATATGTAAGATAAATAATTAATTCTACAAACCTTTGATAATATTTCTGGTTCAGCGTTCATTGTCGTATGCAATCCCCCAATTTCGATAATATTTGGTAGATATGCCATTGGTTCATTAAAACTGAAGTGTCTATTAACCAAAAATAGCACTGCATTTTTTTCTATATCGTATAAATTTGGTACTGGTTCGGGCAAATCTTTAATATACTTTTTAGCTAAAATCTCTTGTTGTTTTAAGTACCAAAACCTCCACGATACATACTCATATATTGAAATGAAAAGATTTTTCATACGTCCCGTAAAACTTTTGGGACTTTCTATTGGAACGAACTCGTATTGAATAGTCGCTAGCTGTAATGGATTTCCAACAGCTATATTGTGTCTCATACAATTTCCAAAGGGTGTTACAAGCACTAATGGTGCATTATATCTATGAGAAAAGTAGTATATAGCGTCTTGAACAAACGTCTCACAGATAACTAAATCATAATTATTATCTTGTTTGAGAAAATCCTGTACTTCAGTTGAGTTAAGAATATGTTCCGTCAAAGCAAGCCCTGCTTTCCACAATATTGTGTTTATTAAATTGATGGTTGATATTTTGGTTGTTTCGAATAAGTTTGGTCTTGCGGTACCTTAAAATAGTACAACGTAATTAAATCAATGAATATATGTTACACAAACACACCTTTAATATGAAGGTCATTTGGTATAAAAGTGGATTTCGAATTACGCAACAGATTTTCTATGTAATTTGAATAGAAGAATTTTAAGAGGAATGTTTGAAATACTTTGTTAGTCTATTCTGTCAAGTACAAGACTGATGCTGAATTTTGTGTATGGGTAAAAGTAGAAAATATGGTGTTAAATTAATGTTCACTTAGCACTTTTGTTAATGATGTAAGGTTTAGACGACTTAAAGCCTTGTTTATGTCAAAATTCAAATTTCATTCTTTTTAAATCTTTGTCTTTTGTTTGTTTTTGGTTGGTTACGTATTAAATAACATATATACGATGAAAATCAAATATGTTATTTCATATTGTAACAAAATAACCCTTTAATGATTAATCTATACGTCTCCGCTCGAGAATGTTCGCGCGAGTATGTTTTTTAGTATGAAAAAACCTTTATTTGCTTTTTGATACTTTATGAATAAACGTTATGATATTTATGTATGACTGACTGATATTAAGAACATGGTACCGAATGAAAGACGCGTTTAAATGTATCTTCTTAAAAAAAAAAAAAAAAATAAAAAAAGTTAATGTGAATGTTTTAAAATGGTTTAATTTAGTATTGAGGAGCTACGATACGATATCAATCTTTATATATCATGCATTTGCTTTGTGCATTCGATAGGCCCCTGATAGCCTTTTAACATCATTAGTTTAATAGCACAATAACATTTAACCCCTAATAAGAGGAAATCCAAGCAGCAACTTATCCTTAGCTTTTTATATAATAAACAAATATCATCAGTTCTGTAATTGAGCGTTTTCTAAGGCAGTTTTTGCCGCGAACCACCACTATGTGGAACCAGCTGCCCACTGAAGTATTTCCGAACCAATTCGACTTAGAGTCCTTCAAGAAAAGAGCGTACCAATTCTTGAAAGGCTGGCAATACACTTGCGAGCCTTCTGGTGGTGTGAGTGTCCATGGGCGGCGGTATCAGTTAACATCGGGTCCGCCCGTTTGCCTCCTATTACATAAAAAAACCTTAAATCTAAACTTAAAATGTTTATTGCTTGCCTTAGGTAAACTTTCATAGGTGGGTAGTAGTCATAGTTATTATCTTACTTGAGATAAGTCTCAAATCTTACAAGACGCAGCGATTTCCTTATGTTTTATTTTATAATATGAGGAAAAATACTTTGGGCGCACAGATATACCACTTACCCATTAAATCCCATATTTCTTTCCTCTCTACCACAACTTTGTGATAATTTGGTGGAGAATTTGGTACGTCAAAAGAGGTTATAACGGTGACATTATGACCTCTGTTTGCCAGTTCAAGTCCTATTGGTCTAAGAAATATATCATGAGATCTCGAAGAGACCGGTACAACATAGAGTATGTTGGCTGCCTCGCAAAACGGTAAGCATAACAAAATAATACATTCACGAATACAGAGCTGTAATAAAACAACGAGATTAAATTGAATTAAAGCACAATAATATTATAAAAATAAAAAAATAAAATCTTACCGTCATATTTAGAATTTAAATTAAACATAAATAACGCACAATGCCTCTTCCACGGTAATATTAACTGAATGATCTTAAACTCGTAATAGCGATAAAAGTATAGTCTCGTTATATGTACTGTTTAATTGCATATGAATATTAAACACCACAATTAAATGTTTTATTGAAGGGCATCGAGAAAAGGAGTAGGTATTAAGAAAATACAATTCATATAAAACGGCCGACATTATTCACCAACATTTAAGTTTTCTAGATTTTTTGGGTACATATTAATGCAAAACACCTATTAATTAGCCAATATTATCGTTATATTTGTTATGATTTTGACAGCTATTTATTTATATCATTCCTAAAAGTAAGATTCAGTATTGTATTGGTAAAAAGCTGCCATAAGGCACCAAGGAAATTCAAAACCTGGAAATTTTCAAAACTGGAAAATTCCAATAAGTATATTTTATTAAGATGGATATACCAAATTTTTAAATATTATTCAACTGTCATCTGTATTATTGGTAATAAACTTCTAGTATCATCTTTATGCCGTCACATTTGTTTTTTTTTCACTAGTTCGCAACTTAAAATATAGATGGCATTAAATTCAATAAAGCCGATTTTATTTTTGTCATATTCAAAGTTTATCTTAATTACCACCAAGAACTATAATTAAAATAGCACTATTATTAAAAACATAATATCATCAGTTCACCTTCTATACGTAATACAACCAGAAATCTATAGAACTTAAAAAGTGTGAATTTCAATAAGTATTTTATATTATGTCGCAAATTAAACTAATAACGCAAATTGAAATTCAAGCAAAAATAAACTGCAAATACTGACGTAATATTTCAATTTAATTTTATTTATACTATTATGATTATTGAAATTGTAAGCAGAATGAAAGCTAAATAATTTAACAAATTGTAAGGTGGCGGTTGCCCGGTTGCGGGAATTCAGAAGATAACTAAAACAATTGAATACCTGATATTATTTAATAATAAGGCTCCGATTTTCAATTTGAATTTTTGATATTTATTTTAGTTCCACACTTGGTGTGTAGACATGTCCCTGAGCTGCCTTCAAGATAACAATAAAAACAGTTGTACAAACAACCTTAAATATATATTTCTTAACGTACTTTTCTAACATCAGACTTATTTAAAAAAAACAATCAACGGCGCTACAACCGTTTTTAGGTCTGGGTCTTAGATTTCTGTATCTGTTTCATGATAATTTTTTAATCTAATAGGCAAGTAGATGATCAGCCTTCTGTGCCTGACGGACGCCGTCGACTTTTTGAGTCTAAGGCAAGCCGGTTTCCTCACGATGTTTTCCTTCACCGTTCGAGCGAATATTAAATGCGCACATAGAAAGAAAGCCCATTGGTGCACATCCATGGATCGAACCTACAACCTCAGGGATGAGAGTCGCACGCTGAAGCCACTAGGCTAACACTGCTCTATCATACTTATTTACCCATATAAATATTCATAAACGAATTGTAAACTTAAAAATATTTACATTAAATATTTTGTCCCATTCACAAGTAGTCTAAATAATAACATTTGTCCCTTGCTAATATCATCTTAGATGTCATTAATAAAATAAAACACCATGGATTATGTATATTATACATATTTATTCTCAAGATTACAAACATCTAGATTACTGCAAAAAGGGTTAAAAATTAATTAATTAATATAAAACTATTCACAAATAATGAATTCCATTATTTTGACATTATATCCGGACGGAGTCGTTTCAATGTTAAGTATAATTAGTATAGCTATGACTTTTTACATAAAGCAACTTATGGGTAAATTAATAAATGTATAGAGAAACATTCTATGTTTCTAACAGTCCTTTATTTATCAATGTTATGGCAGAAAGTATCAAGTGACCTTGCTCCGTATAGTGTCTTGTTTTGTCTCGAACTTTAAACACAGACAGGAACTACACATAAAATATAAACGTATGAAGGCTTCGTATTCTTCCGCTTGTATAGCACCTCCTTAAAAAGTAGTATTGTATTTATGTTATAAAAATATCAAACACGCGGAGCAAATGGTATTGACGATAATATAGATTTTCTTAATAATCTCTAACTTTCTCTGTTACTTTAAAATTGCTTCGCCTACGCTCTGTATACAATGGAGTTATACCATTTCTGCTTTCATACTTCGGTGGTCGGTCACTTTCATAATATTTTATTGTAATAGGCTCCTTATAACCTCTGCTTTTTGTTACCGAATTGACTTCCCTGGATTCAATTATCTCCTTTGATCGACCATCTTTGGATGGCACGATTTTTTTGCTAACAGTTTCTACAGTATCTGTGACACTGGGTCGCTCAGGATCACCAGACCTAGTAGTGTATCTATAGGTCTCAGAATAATTGTCACTACTATTACTCTCTCTTCTATTAATTGGAGATTTCAACCTCGTCTCCAAGCGTGAAACAAACGGGCTGCTATCTCTATTCATAGAATCGGTTTTATAAACTGGGATTTTACGCTCTTCAGATATCCTTTCTTTGTAATGGGGTGATGGAGTTCCATATCTCGAAGACAACCTGCTTCCATCCGATTCATCGTCAGCGTGCAAAGTTTGATATAGTTCGGGTGCGCGATCCCGAAGTCCTTTCAAAAACATCTTCTTTTTATCCGTGTCATCGAAAGATTTGCTGTAACCATTAGTATGTCCGTTGGTGGTTGGTGCCGTTTTTCCATAACGCGCACCGAATAGTCCGTCGCGACGCCGTTCTGTCTCACGCGAAACAGCATCAGCGAGATCGCGTTGGCTTCGATTTATAATTGACACAATACCAGGACTTTTAAGTTGTTCAGGGGTTTCATCAAGCCGGCTCAAATGAGGATTAGACTTGTACATGGTGGAGTAATTTCTGTTCATGCCTGAAATGTACCTAGGATGTGTTTCTTGTTCAGGAACGCCCATAGCAAAACTCTTACTCCTGTTTAGACCCTTGTAGGTCCTCGCAGGTTTTGCGGGACCGGGAGGGTAACCGTTTACCTTTGTTTCTGGCGTTGAAGAATTATTCGATATATTAATGGCACTTGTAGATCTTTTATTTGAGGTAAGACGTTGCCAATATTTGTTTGAGCTTGGCTTTTCGGTGGGTTTCTTATCTTTGCGTTCGTGAAGTTTCCTCGGCAGAGTTTGTGCTGACCGTGAGTATTCTTCCTCAGTTTCGCTGTTCGGGTTCAATCGACTTGTAGAATGACTGAATCGACCGAGCGTGCTTGAGTACTGTCCTCTGAAATAGAGAAAAAAATGATGGAATAAAAACACTATAATATTCTAGTAACAATATAAGCACTCTTCCCACGTACAATAATTATTATCCGTTTGTATCATAAAAACAAGTGATCTTGTATTTAAACCTAATTGGACTCAATGGGGATCTCCGCCTACACTACTAACGATCATGCTTTGTTCACATATGCTATTAACTATTTTTTTTTTAAGTCACCTCATTGCGACCGATACTTTTTGCTGCTTAAAGAGGATAATTTTATATGTTTCTATGTGAGTAGGTGTGCGGTTTCAACGGCGCAATGTTATAATAAAGCCAACAGCCTTCTGCAATACATAGACAATCCAGCACAACATTATTTTTTTTAATTTAAACCCGTAGTTCCCGACAGCGATTTCGAAACAACGTGATCAACCAAACTAAGGGTAGCTTTTAAAAGACAACGATTTATCCCGTTTTGCTTTTTATCGTAACTTGTACTAAAGCCCATGTTAGTCTCCAATAATATCGATTTATATATTGGTGAATTTTTTAATAGGTTCAGAGTTTTATAGTTTATGCATTACATATCATATCTTTTCTTATAGATATATATCAAAAAACTTATAAGAATATAGATACAAATTTCTGTAACTAACTAAGACCCCAAATGTACTAACATTATGTCAACTCAAAGACATCAGTATTTCTTTAAATGGTATAAAATGTGTAGAATCTAGACTGAATCTAAATCAGTGAGAAGGAAGCGATACATTTTTGCACTACGCAATGATTCAATGACGCCTAAGCACCTGTTGACATATTCTTACAATGAGTCATGTTTCAAGAAACTGACTCAATTATAGACTAAATAAGGGCTGTTTTGTTAAGAAACCACTATTCCCATACTAGGCAATGCTCATGGACAGCGGCAAGGTAGATTTTATGGTATGATATGCCGGAATGTATTGACGTGACGTGATTGAAATCTGTAAATCGATAAATCGTACTGAGTACCTATTAGGATTTTAAATACAGCGATAAGTTTTTGTTTATTAAACAATTAATGTAGGTATAACAGTATTAAAATGTAGTCACTATGTGCCTTATATTTGTAATTAAACTTAATACATTATTAAATATACGTATTATATAGTTCTATATTTTGTATTTTGATTTAGTTAAACTGTTGTTTTCACTTCCTGCACATCTTCCTTAAAAGATTTAAGGTTGCCAAGACAAGACCTCTTATCAATGCTAATTGCACGTAGTGAATATATATCTGTATCTTATAAAAGGAATTATTTTTTTATTACTTATACTTTAATACAACCGAGAGAGGTATACAAATCGACGTATAATGTTTGTCTTAATAGTGTCTACAAATCGTGAAAGTTGCAAATGCCTGAATATGTAAGTATTTATTAGATTTGTAAACTTTCTTCTTCAACTATGTGGGCTGTACCTTTTATAGAATTGTATAAAATGTCATCTTTAGTTTTATACAATTTATGTACATTATAGATAATAGCTTACTCCACTAACATACGAGCTACACTTGAATTTTATATTTAAACATCGGCTTGAGCAATTAAAAGCGATACAATTTTATATGACTAACAGAGATCAAAGCGCGAAGAGAGAAGTCTAGATCATTCTCTGCTAATTGAAGCTAAGTAAATTCAAAAAAAGATTAAAATGAAATTAATATAGTTATTATTCCTTGATCCTAGTTAAATTTATATGTTGTAAAAAGACACCGACGGTATGTTGCAAAACCACAAGGAAAATATAATCGTAATTATTACGTTGACTGAGCATTAGGTACTTGCATTGATTTAATATCATTTACAGCCGAGAACAATAAATTATGCACTCAATAAATTGCGTTTTAGTTTATTGCTTAGATAATTTAAATAGACACCACAATGGGAATATGGTTCTGAAGAACATTTGAAGGCTGTCTTAATATATGAGTTAGAAGATTATAACAATGTAAATAAATGTTGTATTAAATACCACATATAATTGTATCATATGTAATTGTGTATTTGAAAATGGATGCAAATGCCGATCGACTTGGAGATAAATGGAGGAGGCCTACGTCCAAAGATGGATCTAAAGGAATAGCTGATGATGATGATGACTCTAATAAAAATCCTCAGGACTTCTGCTTTTTAAAATTCTGTACATTTTATTACATTGTTAATTTAAGTCTTAATATTGGGTGGTTTTTTGTTCGTAATGTGATATTGTAAATACAACGCTCATTAATTAAATTTTATGTCGATATTTTTAGTGTGGGTGGTACAGGGACAAGATTCTATTTAAGGTTAGCGTAAAATACAGGTGGGCATATTATAATTTAACGCTATATTAAAAACTATAATAGGTAGCGCCATAAAAATACTAATGTTCTGAAAATTGATTGATAGTGCGCAAATAATCCAGGTATAGGCACGTGTCGTCGCTCAGTACTTTTTTACTAGAAACTTCTATTAAGAGGTTTATGAATTGTATATTTAATGGATAACCCATTGGTTAATAATGAAAAAATGTTAGTATATAATGATATGTTGGTATCAGATCTTACCTTTCACGATGGTCACGGGCATCAACAGCTGTGGCGCGTCTAGGACTGCCGTCATACTTGTGCTCACGGCCATAGATGCTGGGCGCAAAAGGGTCCTCTCCTAGGTAATAACGGTGCGGGGGAGCGGCAGGGGGCGCCAGCTCCCCCCCGTACTGTTTATACGTCCGCGATGCATGCTCCGGCGACGGAGATCTCGAGTTGCGCCACTTTGCTTTTCGTTCCGCTGACGCTGACCGTATCTTCCCCACTAACTTCCTTATCGAATTCCCAATCGCTGATCCCACTGATCTTCTAACTGGTGAGGGCTGTCGTCCATTGTCCGCAAACCTAGTTTTCTGATTAAGCTTTCTTTCGTCTCGGCGCCGCGGTGGCGTTCTATCTCTGTCTGCACTACCTCGACGCTCCCTCGGGGGCGAATAATCTGGAGGAGGTTCTACGGCACTATCCTCGTGACTGTCTCGTGAACGTCCTGAATTACCATTCCGTGATGAACTCCTGTATCCGCTATCGTAACGATGATCCTCGGACCGCTGCTTTAAATTACGTTTCCTTTCAGGAACTACTGGCGGGCGATAATCATCTTCAATGGAAGGTTCACGGAACGACCGATCCGTTTCAAGTGGATGAAATGGTGAACCACGTGGAGGACTGTGCATGGTCGAGGAAGAGACGTAGGCAGAGTCGTCGCGCGAGGGCGGGTGGCGGCGACCGATCGGCGATGACCTTCTCTGAGGCGAATCACGCTTTCCATACACATGTCTCGGCGAAGAACCGTTTAATCTATCATTACTGGCATATGGCGAACGCACCACCGGTGGCGAGGGAGATGAGCTGCGAGGTTCAGGCATTCTGGGCTTTGTAGCACGGCGTTGTGACCAATCTGCAACACCTTTAAAATAGCCACCTGTCCTATTTCCTTGTGGGCGTTCCTCCGAAGGTGTTGATGACTTAGTCTTTCGAAGAACTCGTTCGGGAAACACTGGTGGTGGTGGCGGCACAGTAGACGTCTTCCCGTAATAGCCTTCGTCTTCAGACTTCTTTACATAGTAACCAGTTGTAGGCCGCCGTCCGATTTCCTCGGCGATGGAGTCATGAGATGAAGGCGACTCGCTACCAAAATGGCTTTCTAACCATTTAGAAGTTTCTTTTTTGCGCGTTTCTTCCTCTATGTCAAAGTTAATTGGATGTTTTGCGTAGTCCTTTTCTTGATCTGTAAAACAGATAATATATAAGGTAACGAGATATACGTGCGCGCGCGCGGGCACCTTCCGTTGAGTGGTAGGCAGCCGCACCTTACATCTTCGCACATGTTATGGCGTAATCGTACAGTCAATAAGTTTGGCTAACCATTGAAGGTCAATGCAAGATGCAAACAACCGAGGCTTTTTTCTGAAGCGCTATGAGACACCGTCGTAATTATTGACTGAATATTAATTTCTAGGTCGACAAGGTTTATAGAACGAATACTTATGTAATTGCTTCTACGAGTAGTTCGTATAACAAGTTGTATTGAAACCGTTTAGTTTCATATTAATCGTAATAAACGATTGATCTTGAGTGGCTTAATTTGTTGACATTTATAATATCTCTTAATTTCTCTCCATGAACTTTTGGCATCCTGTCTTTTGCAACGATGAATAAAAATGCTAGTAGCACATTGTGCAATTGATACGAATCGTACCAGTATCACTACGGCATCAATAAATTTAGAAGACATGTAACGTGTCTAACTAAAGCTAGGAGATTATCTTTTGTACAATCATTTCTGTATTACTTATGTATACTACTTATGTTAACTTTTTAAATTCAAAATTCATTTAATCATATTGGTAACACATTGTACACTTATGACTTGTCAGTAAAGAAATACATATTAATACTTCTAATTTTACATTTAGTGCCAGTTCTCAAATCAAGGGGGGGGAAAAAAAAAAAAAAAAAACCCCAAAAACCCCCCCCCCCCCCTTTTTATCCCCCCTTTTTTTTTTTTTTTTTTTAAGACCTAGTAAACAGGCCAGGACGCTTATTGCGTATTTAAAGAGATATTTAAAGATACAAAAATGACCGATGCGATTGGAACAAAAAAAAATTACTTTTTGTTCTTAGGTAAGTATAAATTAAAGTTTCCACAACTAAACTAAAAAGAAATTTCTCCGAGTAACTTTGTTTTAGTAAGTCCTTGTCAACATTAGGTATATAACCAATTTATAAAAGATATTTAACCAAATTTAATCGTGTGGTAGAGATAAATTTAATTATATTTCCGCAAAATGTGACATTCATTAATTGTATTTTATATCAGCCTACGCTTTGGGTCCTCACACCATTATTTAAAAAATATTATAATTAAATTTTACGCCTTTGCGAAACAACTAGACACAACGATAAGTATAATAATAAATAACGTACTTGCTAAAGTGCAGCTACTTTGTGGAGGCTTGCGGACTGCAATCCGTGTTTTACTGAGGTACGTCAAAAGTTGAAACTGACCTCAGTAAACGCGTAGGCTGTCACCGTCCATAAATGGATAACAGATGGACCCATAACATCAATTTGCCTCCTTTTGAACGTATTGAATTGTACGCAAAAATACGGAGTGAAAATCGTGCCGTTGCTTCATTTAAAAATGGAATTTATAAAACAGATAATATTTAAAAAAAAACATTACTCATTTCAACATTACAATTTTTAAAAAAACTACTAAAAAAAAAAAATTTTCATTTTTTAAAAAACTGTTTAGGTACATAAGTTTATTCCAAATTTAAATAAGTTCCAGTTAAATTTTAATTATATTTGGTTAAAACATCGTGCCTAACTACTCGTATATGCCATTACATATCTGCGTATCTTTTTGTATTATAAATATATCTCAATCTTTGTACTTTTGTTCAATAATAGTGATTTTAAGTAAATTTTACTCGCTGATATAATAAGGCTATTTGACAAAATTTTAAAAACCATTTCGCATTATTTATTAGTGAGTATGAAACCTAAACAAATTGTTATTTTTCCTTCTCGTTTCAGACTCCTAGACACTTTTTGGGTCACCACCAGCGGAGTGACTGAATTCTGTTGTGTAGCTTTAAAAAGTCAAATTAAATATTCCTAATTTTAAGAACCCACTAAATCGCTACTCCAGGCGAAATGGCGTCAGATCCTGTGACATAACATGCTTTTAAAACACGTTAATATACGTCAAAGTTTTTTGTGTGTTGGTTAACATTATTCGATTTGTGTAAAATTTTCAAACATTTCCGTATCAAATGTATTATATGAATACCTTTATATGAGTTTAAAAAAATGTCAAAATGCTTCGATAGTGGCTGAAATGTTTTTGGGATTAATCTAAAAAAACTTATACTACGGTCTGTTTCACGACGCAGTTGCGTATAAAGTATTATAAATAATGTATTATAATCAAAAGCATTATAAGTATAAATTGTCCTTATCTATCTTGTCTTTTTGACGTTTATGCAGAAAGATTTTATCAGATATTAATCTTTATTATTCACATCACTTAAAATATACTCGGAAATGCTCAAGTGATCTTTAAATCACTCCTTTTAAAGCAATAATGGCTCAACGCTTACAATAATTATCATCAAACATCTCAATATATATGTCACCGTAAAATTGTAAACACCGTTAGATTGTAATCTATCTCGCGAGATTGTAAACTGTCGAAAGATTGTGAACCTCAACGAACTGCTTACAATTTAACGTATTATTATTCGGTAGATTGTAATCTATCGAAGTGAAACCGTCAAATTGTGAAACGGATCGCACCTCGCACGCTGATTGGTTGAACGGAATATGCCCCGCGCCACCATAAATATAAGTAACAAACACATTGGACAAAAGCAACTGAATTGTTTTTTTAAAATATGGATTCATTATTTAGTAAGAGCATAAACTATTGAAGTAGATTAATTCGTATTTATCTTTTACAAAACACCACAGAATAGGTGCAGGGATATGTTAAGGGCAGTACATATTAATATCTAATTGATTGAATTCGACAAAATTTACTCATTTTGATTCACACAGCCGTAAATCAATTATTAATAACTAGTATAAATAGCATAAATATGGAACTTAATATTTATTAATAATAAAAAAACAAAATATAGTTGAATTGTGCTGAATTAAATATTAAATATTTATTTTATGTTTGTTTGTTTAGTCGACATCACAGGAGACCGAAGATCTGGCAGCTACCTCGGACAAAGAATTAGTCTAGCAATTCAAAGGGGGAACGCTGCCAGTATCTTCGGAACCTTGCCTTAAGGGACTCCTTTTAATGATATATTTTAGTTTATGTTAAGTTTAGTTATTTATTTCAATGTATATTATTTTATTATTATATAAGTGATATTTTAAAGTAGCATTTGAACCTGTATCTAATATATTACTAGATTGTTAATTTACAATTAATTATACTTCTTTTATAATCAATATCATATATATTATATGCAATAGTTGTTAAATTTATGTAACTATTGATCGATAACCTTCATTCGTTACGCTTTATTTACTGATACCAGATTAAAACAGCTGCATAAAATTATTCATTGTTTATCAGCGTATTGTTAAATTCGTAAACTTTGTTTCTCTATATTTTGTAACTGGTGTAATATTTAAACAATTTATATTTTTCAGCGGGCCAAAAGCACCACCTAAATATATCCTTAACATTATATAATGTTTATCGGCGCCATCTATCGCTATATCTAGGAACTGCTTAAACATGTATGACTAATGACTTAAAAATTCAAATTGTTACCGTTAAGTCGAATGCGGCGCTGCCGTCGCATTCTAACTGAAAGGCTGTCCCACTCGTCATCCATGTTTGGTTGTCCTTCTCTTTCAGCTAAAACAAAATAATGATTATAATATAGGTATGTATTTAAAAATAATCATTGTCATAATAGGTTAAATTACTTTAAATCCATGTATGAAATTAGTTTCGTAATATTAAAAAAAATACTTCCATGAAAAAAGTTATTTATCCTCTTCTCTATATGTATTTAAATCTACGATTATGTAGTCACGCGCGGTTCATTTATGCTAGATTTAAACCGTAAAGTGTAGCGAAAAAAGTATAAATATTCCATTCAGTCACATATTATTGGGACCATATTAATTTCTAAGTTTATTATCATTTAAATAACAATAGTATGGTGCAGTGAAGTATACTTTTTCATTTAATTCTTTTACATTTTAAATTCTATACAACTGGGCTGGAAGGAGGTACCTGAGATATGCTAGAAAGCTTGTAGTCACGAGCTGTTAAGAGCAAAACGTGCTTCAGATAATATTAAAACATACCTTCTTCGGTCCTGGTTCGGGACTGCAACTGTGTGGCGACGCGTAGCCCACCCGCCATCAGGTCAGTTGACCTTTCAGTCTCCACGCACTTGCGTCTTTCCTTTCCACCGGACTCTTTTATTAAACTTTCGTCACTTTTCACCGAACAAACCTAAAAGTAAATATAGTTATTATAAATAAAAAAACGTGCATTTCCGAATAAACGAGACACACATTTCAAGTAATAATAATTATTGTGCAGTACCCAGGAAATATTTCATTTTATGGGTTACTCTAGTGCGGCATAAAAAGCGATCGCTAACAGAACTGAATCTGTATGAAATAAGATGTTATTGTTAAATTTTCTATAGATTATATCATCAAAACAAATAGTACTCTTTTACGCATTGTTATCAAAATATAGTTTCGTAATGTAATAGATTTTATATGCTAATGGCGCTACAGCCTTTTAGGGCTGGGCCTCAGCTTCTGTATCTGTACCGTGATCATTTCTCATACGCATGTAGGTGATCAAGCTTTTGTGCCTAACACACACCGTTGACTTTTGGGTCTATGGCATGCTGGTTTTCTTACGATGTTTTCCTTCACCCTACAAGTGAGTGTTAAATGCGCACATAGACAGAAAGTTCATTGGTTCACAGCCGGGATCGAACCTTCGACCCCAAGGATGAGAGTCGCACGTTGAAACCATAGAGAAGAGAAAATCATTTGTAAGTACGCAGGTTTTTTATTCTGCTAAGAAGAAAGGTTACCTCGTCCTTGTCAATTTCCTCGTCACAGATGCGCTCCTGTTCCTTAATGTGTCGCCTCTCTGTCAGTATCGTGCCATCTGGACGCAAAGCTCGCAGCTCCTCCTACAAAATTATTTTTTTTTCATTATAGTAATTTCGTGTGGACGTCCTAATTTTACGCAGACGCATGGTTTTAAAATTATATAAGGCGTTATTTAATAGTCTTGTGAACCAAAACAACTACTGATTATAAAATGGTATAATAGTTGTTTTATACAATAAAAAATCAGAAAACCGTTATTTAGATTCAACTAATACTTAATAGTCTCGATAGACATCAATAACCGGTATCGAGCGATTACTGCGTAAATAATATAGTAATTTATATAGACGAGCTTGGAGCTCAGCTTCTTAAAGCGTTCCCAAACCTCTTAACACATTTTAGTCTCAAAAATTATATATTTTTTAATAAAATGTACACAGCAAATAAAACCATTTCTATCACGACGCTATAGAATTAACATTCGTGAAAACAATGAAAGTTCATTGAGTCGCGGAAATCCAACTAGTTCTTGGAATATGTTAGAAATGAAATTTAACACAATCATGATGTGAAGAAAACCGTTAGGCCAATAGACATGTACCAGATCAGCAGGTCATATAACACCTCTTTTATTACTGGGATCGAAGAATATTTTAATTGGAATTTGGTATCTTTATAGCGCTAAAATATTATGTTGGTATCATCAACTAGTACCAACGAACTGACGATTGTTTTTTCGAAAGATTTAGACTCATTTTGCTCAGCTATATTAACTTTAGCTTTTTAAAATTTATTTTGTAAATTATGTGTCATTTTAAATATGGTACAATTTTTTTAACATGTACAGTTGCGGATCAGTGGATAAGTATAGTGTTTTGAAATGTTTAGTTTTTTCTCTTATTTTTAACCAAAGAGTTTATAATACACTTACCGTGTCATCAGTGGTGATGGTAGTGTTGTAGGCGACAGTATCTCTGACAAGTGTAGGACCTCGTGGCACCAGGGCTAGCTGATGTTCTGTTTGGTTTTTCAAAGCATCGCGGATGTCTTCTTCTTCTGTTTCATTTACTGCTGCTATAAGAGCCTGAAACAAAAGATAAGTAGTTTTTAATTACAAGTCTAATGGCCCTCTTATTTATAAAAATCAGTCCAATTGCACCGTTTTAACGAATGTATTGTCATCTGTCTCTTTTGTCTGTGATAAAATCAGAATTTTACAGAAAGTGACGAAAGAGATTTAATAATAACATTTTATTTTGTTTGATTTTGAAAAGAAAATTTGTTAACTAGCTTAATATTTCGGGAGAGTAATTGAAAAAACACAAAAATATTTTTATTCGCTTAACATGTATAAATTCATAAAACTAATTAAACACCTATAAACATTTAATGAATTGGAGATTATTATAATTATTATTAATAAATTACAAAATATTATGTTAAAAATACCCGGGGAAAATAAGTGGAATAAGTTGAGTATGACTTTAATAGGCATTTCATTTTTTTGAACATCATTGTTCAACATCGGTTCCATGTAACATTAAAGTACTTATTTTACATAATATGTAGTCTCGCGCACAGCGAAATTAATATTTTTATTTCGTTTATACTCTATGATTTGACACTGACAATAAAATGTCTGTTTACATTAACAAAGACCAAACTATTAAAACTTTTCTAAAGTTATGTTCTACCAAAAAGCTGCAAAATATTGGGAAAATGTTCCCTCCACTGTAGACGGTGTACTCGGAGGTTTTGGCTATATAACGGACATTGATATTGAAGGTTCTAAGGAATTTCTCAATGAAATATTATCTGAAAACAAACCTCCTGCACGCAACCGAGCATTAGATTGTGGAGCCGGAATTGGTAGAGTTAGCAAAAACCTTTTACTGCCATATTTTGATAAGGTTGATTTGGTAGAACAAGATGAAAAGTTTATTAGCACGGCCAAACAATTAATTGGGGATAATTGCAAATTGGGAACATTGTATCAGACTGGATTACATCTCTTTAAACCGCAAGAAAGGTATGACGTCATCTGGTGCCAGTGGGTCCTCGGTCATCTGCATGATTATGATTTAATCAACTTTTTAGAGAGATGTAGAGATGCACTTAACAAAAATGGTATTATAGTGGTTAAGGAAAATGTATCAAGTAATGAGTTGGAGTATGATGATGTTGATTCGTCTGTAACACGCCCAAGTAATTTGATGCTCAAAATTTTTGATGAAGCCAACTTGAAGGTGATAAAAACGAAGATTCAAACTGGTTTTCCTGATGATATCTATCCAGTATATATGTATGCGTTGAATTCAAAACTCGAAAAGTAATCAAACTCAATAAGAAAGAAATCTATTGTATTAAAAATGTTTGTGGAAACCAAAATTCCATATTCAGTCAAACTTTGGTACAATGCTCGTATTAAACTGACAGTAAAATATATATTATATATCTTTTATATTAAAATTTTTACCTTTCATATATCAAAAATAACTAGATTGGATTGCGTCCTGTACTACTACCAATAATCAACTGTTGATCTAATCAACAAAAGTGTTTTTTTTTAACCAAAAATAAATAACGAAACCGATGTATCTAGATGGCCAAGCAATTATTTAGACCTACTAAGAACTATTCAAAAGAATGATAAGAAATTACCACGTATTCGCAAAGTAACGGTCCGCGAATTCATAATCATAATGAAAAAGGCTTATCTATGTAGTGTCAAATCGTGTGCTGACTTCATCACGAACTTGGAGACGTGCCACAGTTGAGTGGATTCGCTGCGGTTACGAAAGTCAATTTGAGGATTTAATTCAATGCTGTTTCAAATCGTACAACTTATTTGGCTAGTAGTTATAAAGACAAAGAAAAATTTCAGAGGAAAATATATGAAAAGTGGACAAACAATTCTAAGGTAAGCTCAAAATGAAGGGTTTACGGTAGGCCCCTCTGTTGAATCTTTCGGAGATTTATTATAGTTTTTGTCTTTAATTTATCCAGTTTATTATATTTATACACTTTAATACTTATGTGTGTAAGCAACTTCTTATTACCAAAGAGACCTTAACATGCACAGTCCTTCCATTATGTCTTGAAGAACGAGGTCATATTCTTGGATTACTTCCAAAACAAAAAGTGTCGACCCGATTGGAATTGAAGTATATATTAGCTTTATATAGTACATACATTTATACCATATACATTACCAAAACAACTTCCGGTCGTATTCAAATACAGTCTTGAGTTTCCTTTGTCACAATGTTACGTACTAAAACCGCAAGAATTTCTAGACATAACAGAACTAAGAAACATGCTCATAAATTCTAATTATATATTCGCTTTTGTACACGTAGAAACACTATAACCATGTTTCAAAGCTTTCAAGATTTACTTTAAATTCGTCAAAGGGGTTTAAAACAATGAATAATTGTTTATTATATTACTTTGCACTGCTATTGAGATATTGGTTGTTAAAATATAAGTGCTAAAGAAAACTTTATGCTAAAGTTGTGATAATTTTATAAGGCCGGCAGTTCCCTCCCAGTTCACAGTGAGAGTATCCAGGTTCGCAGGTTTCTCGAATATACATTACGTTTGTTAACTGTCTGTATGTCATCGCATTACGCGTGAACAATATCAGTAATTCTTTTTTGTTGTGTTTATTACGATATATAAGAAACCTTTCTTATGAAAGAAAAAAAATAAGTTGAACGAAACATTTGAAAATTTTACGACACTATTAATTTTACATAACTATCAGTCGTTTCAAATAACTGTTTAGCTACTGACAGAATGTGTGTGGCAAATATCGTTAACAGTGCCACATACTTTTCTTGACCGGCGGCTGAAGTTGGTACTACCGTTTTGGTGCGTACAATAAATAGTTTTGATATCCACCAACATCAAATAAAAATCCAACTGAAATGTATTTATTTCTTGCATTATTAATTACACTGGCAAAGTTTTAATTATCGAACGGTTCTGATTGGTAGGTATCTTAAAACATATTATACCTATTAATAGTACAGGTAACATAACCTATCATATAAGTTGTTCCTAAGTGTGTGTCATATTTATTGCCTAGAACTGTATTTACTAGATACTAGTATACATTGTTTTATGACACATTTTAGACATTTCAATAAATTATTAAGTCATGCAACTTCGAATTATTCCCCTTATAACTGTTAATTTTTATTTACTGGCAATACCATGATAGCGACGCTCTTACCGGCCAAGAAAAGTATCTGGCACTGTAACACAGATAGAAATCATTACAATAATAAGCAGTATGTTTTTGAATAATATTCATTTAAATGTCGGGCCAGCTACTTTAAAATAAATTCTGGTCACAAATTTTATTATTCAAATGCCATTTCAGAAGTAAAAGTAATTCGCAAACTAACCGGTTGTTTGTCGAACGGCGGATATTTCAATTCCAAGGAATGTTGCCGTTAATGAAATACAAAGAGAATAAAGGTAGCACGCACGTCCATTTAAATTGAAGCATTTGATTTCGTTTAAAATCACCAGTTCGAACTCAGTAAGATAATGTAAGAACAATAATACTTAAATAGAACTTGATTTTGTCATATTCCTTTAAAATAGAACGACACGACACAATCGAACAGTCTACCTCAATTGCTAAAAATAATTTCAAACATCGAGATATGTAAGTAATTAATTGACGTTTATTCAGTTAAAGAAGTTTTATTTAAATATGTATTACACTTAAATCAGTAATACATTTAGCCACTAGTTTAACTCAAAAATTCTTACTTCTGTAAAACATGCAAACAACTTAGCAACAAGACACGGGAATCCACTTAAATGTTACCAATGATTTGAATAAAATGTCAGCTGACTCTTTCATTATCTATCTGCATATACATTTCCTAAGTGGTATTGAGACTTAACAAACTGGTAAGACTGAAAACTTGAATATTATTTTTAAACGATTACTAAACGATGCATTATTTATTAAAACCAGTGGCACTACAACCTTTTTAGGTCTGGGCCTGAGATTTCTGTATCAATCATTTGTCAATCCTATTCTCAGCCTCCTGTGCTTGACACACGCCGTCGACTTTTTGGGTTTAAGCCAGGCCGGTTTTCTCACGATGTTTTCCTTCATCATTCGAGCAAATGTTAAATGCACTGCAATGCAGAAAGACCGTTGGTGCAGAGCCGCGGATCGAACCTACGACCTCAAGGATGAGAGTCGCACGCTGAATCCACTAGGCCAACACTGCTCAAAACAATTTATCATAATATGTGATACTGATAATATCATAATACTGACATCCTAAGTATTCTTATTCGGTTGAATTTAATAATATATATTCCACTTTCACATTATAAGTTTATTATTTCATATATATAGGATTTGTTGTTATCTTCTGTTGTGTGTAAATTAAAAATTACTCCAACAGATATAATTAGCCCTATAATATGAACTAGGCAACATAATAATCACTGAATCCGAATGTTACACGATACAAACACACTACCATATTGGTACTAAAGACTCACTGCTTCCGTTTAGTTAAGCATTGCGCCTACCCTATACTAAGCATTATGTGGGACTCGGTGTATACTCAGTCTTAACCCTGAAGCATAACCTAAATGTGCCACACAAATGTCTCGATGCGGCAACGGCGGTGCCTCGTCCGCCGAGCTCAACTCATTAATAGATGTTATAAATTGTATAAAGAGTATTTTAGCACCCACAAATCATAATAATGATATCATTTCGAAACCAGCCTAATCAGCCATCAGGGTTATGAACCCATTAAGGTCTAACATCATAGAATATTGCAAAATTATTTCAACAAACTGCGATTCAGTCTCATTGTTAAGAGAATATTAATGTTAGGTATTTATCAAGCCTACGCAGACCCGACCTAAAGATCGCCTCATCGGTTGAGTAAAACTATTAAGGGTACTATATTTGTAATCGATTCATGTGAATTTTGTTTAATATATTTTCAAGTCCATTATCATAATGCTCATTAGTGGTAGTTGCTTACAAATAAAAACCAGTGGTTCTACATCTCTTTTAGGTCTAGGCCTCAGAGATCTGTTTCATGATTGTCAATCCAATAGGTAAGTAGGTGATCATCCTCCTGGGCTTGATACACGCCGTCGACTTTTTGGGTCTAAGGCAAGCCGATTTGCTCACGATGTTTTCCTTAACTTTTGAAGACTCACTTCAGCCGGGGATCGAATCTACGACCTCAGAGATGAAAGTCGCACGCTGTAGCCACTAGGCCAACAGTCCTTACAAATATCTAGTGAAAGATAAAATAGTTGTCGATTAAAAAGAATGAGAGAGTTTCTTTCTTGCGTCTATTGTACACTTTTGATTTGAGAACAGGCAGTCAAAATAACCTCGGCAGTAAAAATGGAGTTCATATCCTAAGTTAAATGAATATATATTATGACTTTGACTAGAAAGAATGACTCAATAATTTTAAAAAAAATCATTGCAGTTT